TGTAAGTGCGCCCCGTGTCCCAACAACGCCAAGCCGGTTCTCTCTGGGACCGAGTGCAAGTGTGTTTGCCAGACAGGAACGTTCGGCACCAACTGTGAGATTCGGGCGCCTGACTACACTTCAGGTACCCGACGTTTTGAGTACCAGACTCATTTAATGCATCTTTTATTCTTATTCAAAATATTTTTTATATTGCCTGGCCACTGTGCCACTCTCTACGAGTAAATAACTTAGAGTGGCAGAAACAAAAAAAGAATCTAGCTAAAAACTTTTATGATACAACTAATCAGACATTTCACAATGTTTTGAACTGAAATGTAATTTATATGGTTGAAAACAATAAATAAAAAGTAACAAATATTTCCACTGAACTCTGATTAGCCACTAGCTTAACCAGGGGATTAGCAGCTAGCATAACTAGTGACTGTTTTTTCCACATATAAATCTATAAATGTATCTGTTTGACTTCAGGTCATATGTTGACTGTCCAACTACTTCATACCATTATAATTAATAAAGAAAAAAACTAAAGTATCAATTTAAATCTCTATGTTGAACTGCTTTAGCCTTTCAAGCTAATAGGCTAATATGCCTACAGCCTATTAGCTAATAGGCTAATATGCCTACAGCCTATTAGCTTGAAAGGAGGACAAACATTTAGTCCTGTTTGTACTGGACGGTTGCTTGTTTTCCACAGAGGTAGTGGACGGTTACTGGAGCTGCTGGGGGCCGTGGAGCAGCTGCAGCGCCTCCATGAGGCGACACCGAACGAGGAAGTGCGACAACCCTGCTCCCCTCAGAGGCGGCCAGCCCTGCGACGGTCCAAACAGACAAGAGGAACCGTGTCCCCTCTCCCTGTTTGAAAAGTAGGACTCATCTGGACTCAAGTAAAATGAACTATTTCAACCAGCATGTTTGGTTTTTCTACAGTTGCTTGTTGTTTGGGTTTCCTGTGCAGAAAAGAGTCGTGTGACAACGACGATGAGTTCACTGTGGGATGGAGGGACGAGCTGCCGCCGGGGGTGGAGGGCTGTTTGAGGCCGCAGAGACCAAGCCACAGCTTCCTCCGGGTAAAAATCACCTTAACTGGACAAAAACCATGTCTAAATTTAACAATACGTTTAATTTGAACCTAATAGCAATTTATAACGGCATATTAACGCCATTGTGGATAGAATAAAAGGACGAGTAAATTTAAGCAAAAAAAATCAGAAATTTTGAGATTAATCTTATAAATGTTCTAGAACAATATTGGAAATTTCTGAGTTTTAAAATCAAAGTTTGCTAGAAAAATAATCAGAAACTTTAAGATCAATCTCAGAAATTTTCTAGAAAAAACAAAAAACATTTCTGACCTTGAAAAGTTTAAAATTTGTTATAAAAAACTTGGAAAATTCTAGATTAATTTGAAAAAGAATCCAAAAAAACAACAACAAAAACAAAAACAGGGATATTTCTGAGTTTGAACAGTCAAATATTTGCTGGAAAGATTAATCTCAAAGTTCAAAAGTTGTTTTTAATTAATATCAAAGTTTCTGTTCTAGCAAACCTTCAACTTTTCAAACTCAGAAATTTCCTCTTTTTAAAAAAAAAAAAATCTTTCTATGGTTAATCTGAAAATATTTGACTTTTTCTTCCAAAGTTTCCACGTTTTTCTTTTAAAGGTTCTGTTGGTTCTAGTGGCCTTTATTCAAAAGTAGTTTGGCAGGAAGGAGGTTATGAGAGAGGGAGGACATGTGGCACATGGGCTGCGCCTCACCTCTGCACCACCACAGCACCCAGTTTCCACTTTTGAAGCTCAGAAATGTCCTTGTATTTTCTATAAATTTCTGAGCTTATTCTCAAAAGTTCTTTCTGTTTGTTTTCCTATATAAAATGGCCCCAATACGCTGCTGTACATTTGATCATTTTAAGGTCTCATAGCTGTTTTGCTTCATTCTTGTAGAAATCTAAACAGTATTACAGCTTCGGTGAGGATGAGGAGTTCCAGTGCTTCACTGGATTCGAACTGGAAGGTTTCCAGTTCATTAACTGTCAACCTGATGGAACCTGGAGTCAACCAAGAGGAAGATGCATCAGTAAGTCTGTTTTTTTACCGCATCGTTGGGAGAAAGTCAATGTAGAGAAACCAGACAGTCCCAAACGTTTACAGGTAAATCCAGACATTATTAGCCGTAATGATTTAAACATAAAATTAAAAACTATTCTAAAGTTCCAAAGATCATAAATTACCAATAGAAAAGTTTGGATACAATGAGAAATGTGGATGTGTCTAAATATTGCTAGTGATTTAGGGACAAGTCCAAGTCAGGTCTAAAGTCTTTGAGATGCTTTTACACTGAAAGATCAGCAGATTCATATGTTTCTCCACAGGAAGTTCCTAAAATCTGCCACCTTCTTGTCTTTAGGGAGGCTTTGTGTTGCTCCAGAGGTCCCAGAGAACATGGAGCTGTATCCGCCCAAAGCGACGTACAGAGTGGGCGAATCGGTTGGTTTCAACTGCAATGAGACGGGCCTGATGCCGATGCCAAGAGGCATCTACAGGTGCAGCAGAAAACTCACCTGGGAGCCTCCGCTGCCTGCAGACCTCCGCTGCACAGACGGTTGGTTAGAAACATTGAAGAGGCTCTTAAAATTGGACAAACTTCTGGAAAAAAGTCGTTTTGTTTGCTAGCTGTGAAGCCATTAGTGAAAGTGCTGAACTAAATGTCCCTTTTTGTCTGTTCAGAGGAGCCATTTGTTCCTGACGGCCAGTGCGGTCCAGGACAGAAGCGGCAGAGATCTGGCTGTGTCTGCGTTGAACGGGAAAGCTGTCTGTGGGTGAATTTTAGATCTTAACATGTTGCATTTTCATCATTTTAAAGCCTCTTCAGCTCATTGGTAGTTCTGTCAAAGATGTGTTTTACCATTTTTAGTTACATTTTTAGTTAACTAACTCTTTAGTTAGTTACGTTAACTCTAAATCACTAATCATAAATTAATTAATGCTAAAGCACCGCTCCAACATTGTATCTAGCAGAAGCTAATGCTAAATGCTAGGCGCTAAGTTGTCACCATGTGTCATTGACACATTTACATAAACGTCTAGTTACTTGAACAATTCTTAAATATATAAACAAACTTTATTCAACTGAAAGTTTACAAAACAGCCAAAAATTTAGCTGGAAAAATGAACTTAAGTGAAGCTAAGTGCACTAAACGTTTTCAAAGTTAGCAAAAATACTAAAGTCCTAAACATCTAACTACTTTGAGAGTTTTTAAGAATCAATGACCAAAATGTCAACACAGGTCAAACTTTATTCAACTGAAAGTTAGCAAAATGGCCAAGTTAGAGTTTATTTGTAAAAATTAATGTAGGCGTGTCCACCACTGGATAAACCTGCTAAATGTTGACTGACAGAACCTTGTTAGGAAGGAGAATCTAACAGAATGTAAATAAGTTTCTTCACTGATCTGAGCGTTCGCACGTCTCCAGTTCACAGTCGGCGAGTCTCTGCGTCCTGAACACAAACCTGGATGTCGCTGTGTCGATGTCGCTCTGCTCCTTCCACGCCGGCCGTTGCCACGGCGACCCACTCTTCTACATCGGTGAAGGCGTGTGCGACTCGGTCGAGCCAACCAAACTGGAGTGGGCCAGGTTCAGAGCCAAGATGTCGCCCAGGAGTTCGTTGCATGTGCCGTGCGACCTGGACAGCTGCTACGACTGGGAGACCTGCTCAGGTGAGTCGGTCTGGCGTCTCACGTACTGGGAAGTCTGGGAAGTGATCAAGCATCATGTCTAATGTTTACTTATGGGTTCTAGCCTCTAAGAAGTGCCAGTGCAAAGCTGCTCTTGACTGCCCCAGAACCTCGGACCAGATGTTCTGCGTGAAGCTGAAGCCGATGCAGATGATCCGAAGCATGAGTCTCTGCACTTTGGCAGCTATCACCTGCAGCGGCCGGGAGCATGAAATCCTCAACGAGGGCGTTTGTCAGAGCAGATGATGGTCCAAGTAAACCTGCCTGCAGCTGCAGATGACGATTAAAAATGAATGAAAGGTTTTTGAAGCTAGTTTAGTATGGCTGGTTGTCCTGAGTGTCAATGTTTGTGGGTATATTCAATGGATGGATGAAGGTAGTTATCCTGGCATTTAAAGCTCTATTTTACTTTGTATTGCAATAAAATTTTATATTTAAAAAATGTAGACATTTGTTTTGTTGACGAAGTGGATTCACACCAGTTTCCAGAAACTCTGGTTCCTTTGGGCAGGTGTGAATGCTAATCAAACTCTGGTTTGCCTACAAACAGAGGTCTGGGTTCAGTTAGAGTTCAAAGCCCTAATGTGAACGCCAAGCAGACCAGTGACCGCTCCAAAAGCAGGAAGTGGACTACAGAGCAGGGGATTCTGGGTAAATACAAACAAAACAAATGCGATAGCCTAGCGCTAGCTGGAGAAATGGTTCCTGGTTTTTCACCAAAGCCAAACCGCTAAAATCTGACGGCATTTCATTTTTGTTCATATTTTGTGAAGAAGGAAGTTGCACTCAGTGTGTCCTTCATTGTTTCATTGAGTAGTGCCCCCACAGGAGAGGAGGGGAACAAGTTGCTCAAAGCAGCTTTGAATTTTATAGTTTATGAAATTCAAAGTCCCGCTGTTTCTCTAAGGAAACTTGCTCCTATCGACACCCATACCTCAAAATTATGACTTCTTGCTGGGCTTTTATTTGTTTCTTTCATGACAGCAATGGGCTTCTGTAATCTTTGAACCATTATTGTAAAAATCCATATAAGTTAAAATAATTAATTGAAATGGCGTTTGCCTTGTTAATCTTTCTGATTGGCTGCCAGTCAAGTTTAGCTACTTTGCCCCTCATGCTAGCTTAGCAATTGCTAAACTAGCTGGAGGGGCAAAGGTGGTAGTTAGCTAGCTCTAATATGAATTAGCTTAGTTTAAATGGACCATAGAAACCATCCAGTTGCTGTTAAAGTTAAAAAAATGGATGAACAAATATAAAATAAATCAAGAGAATTAAAACAGTTTTATTAATTTTATAACAAAAACAATCAATCCAACCATTAACATCCTTATGGATGTACAAAAACAAAGAAATTTATCAATTTATTTGGAACGATCTGTTCTATTTACAGTTCAGCTGCTACGAAAGTAATAAATATTTACAGAAACAATGAAGAAAAGTGTCTGTTTACTGCGGACATTGGTCCAGACTGATCAGGCGGACAGTTTCGCCTGCGCACCTCCTGGATCCCACCTCACACTCCGACATGTTCGCAGTGCCGCCATCATCACCGGAACTGACGCACAGGGAGGCGGGGCCTGCAGGGCACTCCGACGGACTCAGACATGCGCATTTCCGCTGGGATTCTATGATTAAAAAGGTAATCATACTCAGCACTTTTGGATGGAAAATAATAAAGAAAAGCTTTAGGCGGGTTGTTCAAATTTCCACATTTGAGGTGTTTTTATTGATAATTCAGAGGAAAATTCTGTTGAAATAGTTTGTCATTGTGTGGCAGAAAATCTCAAAACGTATTAATTTCTCCCGATCGTGACATCATCGAGTAGTAAATGGTTAATAAAGTGTCACTATATAGTAGTTAAAGTAAAACAAAAATCCCAGATGTTATACGATAATAAGGTCAAAAATAATCAAAGAATTAAGTTATAATATTACATAAATGTTATGACTTTAATTCAGTCATAATATTATGAGAATATAGTAAAAATAATTCGAATTACATCTCTGTTCTCTAAATTGTATTTATTTTCATATCTTTGTACTATTTGGTTTGTCTCTATACTCCGTCATAATGTATATCTGGCACTATTGACATGAGTTTCATCAGACGTTGAGATTTGGGCTGGAAACAGTCCGTCAGATCTGAACATATTTACTCTTTTTTGTGTTTTTATAGAGCAGGATGTTCAGTAATCGGGTGTTTCACCTCGGCAGGTCGTCCCTGGTTTGCAGTCGCTGCAGGAAGTGAACGTTTCCTCTTCCGGTTTGCTGCAGTCCGTATCGGCGGCCAGCGTGAAGCTGCGCCCCAAACAGCGCAGCGCCCCCAGCTGGCAGACGCCCAACCAGAGACTCCTCGGCCCGACCCGGGAGCAGAACTGCACAGACGACCTGAAACAAGAACATTTTAAACCAAACACCCCGACTGGGTCTGGATCTGAGTTTGGTTTTAGTTCTGAAGTAAGAGACTAACAGGCACTCAGAGGGCATTTTACAGACACAGCCGGTTTTTCCGATCTTCTCCCAGGGTTTACAGTTCAGACCAGCAGGTGGCGCCGGAGAGGTGAGCAGCACTGCGGAGGAACAAGAAGGCAAATTTAATGAAACATTACAGAATCTAATGTGATTTATTTTCATTTATAGACCAGTGATGATGGTTTATCTTAGTCAAAGTGACTATTCTTATGAAGTCATACATAATATTACTCTGTAATATTATTAAAATATTATTCTTATTACTATTACTTTGACTTTATTCTTTATTCTTTATTTACTTTGTTTATTTTCTCTTCCAGTTTGGGCCAAATACTCTGTTGTTAAAAATAAAGTTGTCTGGGCCAAATTAGACCTCACCTTCAGAACTTGAATCACTTTGTGTCAAAATGAATAAATTCTCTGTAATAATCATTATATTTATCCGGTTTAAAGGTAACCTGTTTCTGAAGATTCACCTGTTCTGCACCGAACATCATCAGGAGACGGCGACCACTGCAGACTGGAGCTGCACCTGACCTCTGACACCTCGCCGTCCAGCTCTGATCCCATGGGACACGACAGGGACACGGTGTCTCCGATCTGGTAGGCATTTTTAATGGGCGTGGCTTCAACTAAACCGCCGATTTCAGGAAATCCACAAGTGGAACCTAGAAGAAATGTTAATTTCTACTTTTGCATAATATTTATGAAACCATCTATGAAAAAATAAACATCTAATAAGTGTAGAAACTGTTATAACTGAAATATTCACAATAAGCGCAGTACAAATCCTGAATATTTCTAAAAATGTCCACATTTTCATCTATTTGACAACCAAAGCTTCATTAATAAAACTTAATGGGTTTTAAATTTTGCTTTAGTTTAATACTTACTTTTACAAACCATTGCTCCTGAGCTCCATTGCAGGTTTTCTCCACATGTGGCTGCAGCGTTTCCAACAAGGTAAAAATCCTCTATGCAGGAATACTGCACTCTGCTTCCTACTGTGTAAAAGTCTTTAAGATCCTATTAAAAAAATAAAAAACTGTCAGAGTATGAACAAATACCTTTTAATATGACATTAATGTTACCAGAACAGAAAAGTGTGTTTCAACTAAGGCATGTGAGGTCATTATTCTTGTATTATTTCAACTTTGTAATACTGTTAGAATGAAACATTAAAAAACAAAACAGGAATTCAGATTAAAAATTCACCTCAACGAATCCATTCTTCAGGACTGGAGGGAGTCTGCACCGTTTTGGTGGAGTTATGGAAAGCCCAAAGCACTGAGGCTCCATCATCCTGAGGGCAAAAAGGAAGAAAAATCAAATAATGAGTGAAAAAGGGACTTTATTTATTGTGATTCAAAGCTATTAAGGTTTTATTATAACTAGAAAACTTACTGTAAGTATTGCATATCTGGCTCTTCACAGGGCTTTTGTTCGCTTTGCTCCCCGATGCAGTTCCGGCCCCCTCCTCTAGGGGCGGGGTTGTTGCAGCTTCGGGTTCTTGACCTTTGACCTCCAGAGCAGGATCCCCAGGAGGACCAGCAGCTCCAGCTGCCGTGGATCACTCCTGGGAAACAGATCCAGTGATTATTTTCATTTCTCGTTCTCTACAGGAACCTTTAAAATACTTTTTGTTTGAGCATTAAAAAAATCTGAAAGGTCAAAATGTAGTAAATAATGAGGTTTTTTTTTTTCAGAAAATTCCTTTGGTTTCTCTTGACAATTTCTGAGACTAATCTAAAATTTTCTCAGTTTTTTTTAGCATATTTATAATGTTCTGAACACAGAAACTTTCAATTTTTTTCCAAAATTTCTGAGATTAATCTCAGAATTTCTGATTTTTTTTTCCTTGCAATTTTTTTTACTTTTGGAGCTCATAAATTTCTTTATTTTTTCTAAAAAAAATTCTAGAATTTTATTTATTTATTTTTTTTTACTTTTCAAGCTTAGAAATGTCTTTTTGGAGGAAACCCTTTTATTTAATTTAATTTTAATCTGATTGGCCGCTTTGGTGGGAGTGGCCAATCAGATTTCGAGGTTAGCCAGAGCCCCTCCCCCCGGTCTTTCCGACGGCCACACCGCCGCTGCTTCTTGTTTACCGGGCTGTTCTCCAGTCACGGCTCCCCTCTCGCAGGCCGGTCCTGATGTTCCGGGTCTGCAGACGCAGCGGCACTCGGTGCCGGTCAGCAGCGGCTGGCCGTTATTCTGGCACGGCCTGCAGCGGCAGGGATGCTCCTCGGACAGGAACTCCTCCATCGCTCGCTTCAGGTAAAGCTTTTTCAACCCGGCGCACTCGACCTCTTTCACCAGTTCATACAGAGGACGAAGCTGGAAGAGATTAGCTCACCATGTTAACACTCGGGGGGATGATTATTGGTACTATTTAGAGGGGAAATCGGACAATTTTATTGGTTGGCTAGGGAACATTCTAAATCAGAGCTAGCTGGCACTGATTAGCCCATGCTAATTAAACTTGGTAGCCTGTGTAACATTGTTATTCTATTTAATTATGTTTTCTGGTTGTCAACGATAAAAAGCTTTGAGAATTGATGAGCTTTAAAATAATTTATTTGTGTAAATATGTTGGGATTCATAAAGCCACAACAGCATTTATGCGAAAATGGAAGTTATGACAAACTTGCTAGCATAAATTCTGTGTTAGCATAAATTCTGTGTTAGCATAAATTCTGATTTTTCGTTGTTATGCCGTGGCTTTTTGCTTTTATATTGCAGCTTTTGTATTTTGTTGACTCTTCTGGGCCACCGTATCAAACAAAATACTCATACATTTGCTTTGGGGTGATAAATAGTTGGATGGTTCAGCAAAACAACATTTCCTGTTCCCTCTGGAGGAATGTGGTCTAAAACTTTACTAATCCTATTTCCTGTCAGATTATTTACTAATCCAAATGCTAAAGTACTCCATGTTTAATATTTTTATTACTGGGCTCTTAAATACGTGTGATTTTGGTCTTTTTACCTTCTGGTTTATGACATCAGGGAAATCTTTGACAGATGAGGCCCAGTTACTGTAGATTTCTCCGTTAGCTTCGGGTTTCTGTAGATCCAGAACAGATAGAGCACCTATGAACTGTGGATCTCCTCCAAACACGTTCACCTTAATGGGCATCTTGTTTGACTGGCTTCCTGCAGATAATGGAAATAATGTCAGCTCAGAGAGAACATTGATTAAATTATTTGAGTTTGTGTGACTTTAACTCACCAGCTTTGGATTCCAGATGTTTCTGTAGTTTTTCACAGATGATTTTGGTTTTCTTAAAGAACAGGAAGCGCTTCACTTTTTTCCAACATCTTTGGTATTCAATGTCCTGCACACCTTTAAAAAAAGGACAGAAATATAATCGATACTCTTAGTTGAGTGGGATATTTTATCCACTGTGAGTAACTTCAATGAAAGGACAACAAGCTTTTTTTAGCCAAAAAAATTCACCAGACAAAGACACACACCTGCAGTTTTTGATAAAGTTTGATTTTGAAAAATATTTCTTTTGTCTGATTTTGTAATTATTACTATGAATTATTTTCATTTTGGTTATTAAAATACCAACATTTCCACATAACTTTGTATTTTGGTCCATCTGATGATGCAAATTTCAAATATTAAATCAGATGTTTTGATCAGTATTTTACCAAAGTATTTGGTATTTTGGTGAAATACTTAAGATACCAAAGTATTTACCAAAAATACTTCGGTATTTGTTCATATACTTTTCGGTAATTTAATTGGGCAAAATATCAAATACCAATTTAATCAAATTATTTGAGTAATTTTTTTGGATGGCTACTTTTTACTTTTACTTGAGTAAAAATATGTTGAAGTAGTGCTGCTCCTCCTCTAGTACAATTTTTGACTACTCTGCCCACCTCTGTATGAACCTCACCTCTTGACAGCTTAGATTAAACTTTATTCCTCTGGAATTAGATAATACACTGACGGCTACTTTGAAAGTCTGGCATTAGTCTTAAGCTTTTCTTAGTTTGGTACTTTGGTCATCGATTAAGCTACAGTCAAATCTTTGTGGTGATTTATTGGACCATGCCATTAATTGGTGACCTTAATCCCTTTGGAGTGTTTGAGTTTTGAACAGTGGGTCAAAACACCTTGGCATTGTCCATGTTCTCCTCTGTTATCTTGTAACAATATTCACTCATAAAGTCCTTACTGTGGGATGTGTGGGCCTCAAAGTCAAACTCCAACAAGCCTTGGTATTCGCCGCCAAGTGAGCCCTCAGACATGTAGTGTGTGCCGTAGGTCTGCAGCACCTGGCGGTAGGCGGAGTAGTCGTAGGTCAGCGGCAGCGAGGACAAGGCCTTCCAGAAGTCTGCAGAGAGAGTCAGATACTGGGGGGCAGAGTTCTGAAACTGGGCCAACTCCACTCTGTTCTTCAGGACCAGAAGTCTGTAAGCCTGAAACACACCAGAGAAGATTGGGAAGGGATTTTATGGGACACACAAATGATGAAACCCAAAGATTCAAGGGTTCACTATGCAGCTGAAGCAGGTCTGGTCATCGGTCACCTTATTGTCTGTGACTTCTTTGTGGAACGTCCGACGGTCATGTCCGAACCAGGCGTTGGACTGGATGTGCTGAGCGTAGGACCAGGCGCTCTCATAGGACTCGTCACTTTCCTCGTTGTCCACATGGACCTGCAGCACAAACGGTTAATCTCAGCTCCATCAAAGATGTTTTCACCCTGATAGTCCAGTAGAGTCCGTTCATATTCGAGACCAAAACCGCAACATTTGTTACATTTTTAGCTGCTGCAGTTCGCTTCACATTGTGCTGTTTCACATGAGCCAAACTATTCAAAAAACCTGTTCCCCTCCTCGCCTTTGGGGGCGTTGCACCAAGAACAACTGAAGGAAATGAAAGCTTCCAAAGAAGATAAGAATAAATTTCTTCTTCACAAAATGTGAACAAAAATGGAGTGGTGTCAGATTTTAGCGGTGGGAGGATTCCTCGTTTGTCTTTGATAAGAGTCTCTTGACTAGAATGTTGGTTTTGGTTGCATTTACCCAGAATGCCCTGCTCAGTAGTCCACTTCCTGCTTTAGGAGCAGTCTACAGTCCGCTTGTTGTTCACATGTTCATTGGAACCGCACCAGAGTTCACTTCAGAGACAGAGTGAACTTTTTTGGTTGGATTACGCGTTCACCAGTCCCCAAACGAAGTGGACTTTCTAAGCGGATGGACTGGACTTCATCTTTTGGAGGTGCTGTTGCCAGTTTGGACCAGATCAAACTATTCAACTCCCATCAGTTTCTTCAGTTACTCACCTCAAAGTTGAACCTGAGGATGTTCTGTGGCAGTCTGTACATCACTTTGTGGCTCCCGCTGAAAACCTTCCGGCACTGTCCTCCGAAACTAAACGTGTTGATGACACCAGCTTTCAGCTTCCCTGTCAGAACGTCGAATCTGTGAAAGAAATGCTTCTAGTGATCTTATCTATGGTAACAGGTGACAGATTATCATCTCCAAACATTTTGTCTTTATTCAGAAACACTGAGGTTCCCACCCTTTGCCTGTGAGGTCGGCGTTTGGAGGCGTTTTGATAAGATCACAGGAGTACTGGCTGTTGTCCTGACCACAGCTTCGCTCGTCCAGACCGTCCTCACAGTCTTGGTCTCCATTACAAACCAGAGATTGGCTGATACACTGACCTGCATCAGAGTTAGAACGGTTTCACATTAGAATTTAGTTTGATTTCATTAACAAATAGATTCACAAACCCAAAATTAAAGGACATTACATCTATAACTTCAGTATGTCTTAGTTTTACAAATACACAATATAGTTTGTTAGTTTAAGTTTTTCCCCATTAATTACAGTTTTTATTTAGTCCAGTTAACCAAAGTGTTTTCTAAGTTTCAGTTTTTGTTATTTTGTTGGTTTTAGTTAGCTATAATAACTTTGATCGATGCGTTAGGTATTTGACTTTGGATCTGAACGTACCAGAGGTGCAGCGGAACCTGCTGCCACACCCTGTTTCCAGGGGACACGTCTTCTGTGGGACGCATGCCTGCGTTTCGGTGGCGTCTCCTGAACATGGCGCCCCTCCAAACTGAGCGTACACCTCCACATGACGAGTCCGCACCTGGAAGACAGAATAAAAATATTAAATACATTGAATTACTGAACTAAAGGTGACATATCTGCTTCTTGAACAGGTTTCTGGAAAACGGGAATGTTCAAAGTTTGGACTGAATTCGTCAATTTAAGATCAAACCAATTTAATTTAATTTTTTTTAATTATTACAGGAAAAAAGGTGGCTACATCACAAAGTATTCAATACCCAGACTTTTTGTATTTTCTTGTGAGGACCACATCTATTCAAGCTTCGATGCCCCAGCATCGACTTTTACTGAAAACTTGGTTATATAGTTTCCAATAAATCTTGTTTTTATTGCTAACAATTAACAAAAAAAACTTGTATCATTGTCAGTGGACACCTTTAAAAATCACAAAGTGGACTCCTTCAATTTAATGAGTATATTGTAACTTAGTTTACTGTTCAGCACGTAAAAACTCAGTATTTTTCTTTTTTCATCTTTTTTTTGACCTTTTTTCCTCTCATTTTTGAATTGATTATTTTTGGCCCATGTGATAAAAAGTTTGATCTATTGGCCAAATAAAACATGTTCATTACTTTATTTTTTTCCCCACAAAATCATTCTTGGATAATGTGATTTTAGTTTGGTCAGTTCTGCCTATTTGGAGCTACTGGGGGTTGCTAGGTAACGGGTGGAGCTCGTGGGAGTTGCTAGGTAACGGGTGGAGCTCGTGGGAGTTGCTAGGTAACGGCTGGAGCTTGTGGGGGTTGCTAGGTAACGGCTGGGGTTGCTAGGCGAGGGGCAGTTCCTGCTGATTTGTGACGTTGCATTCGGAAAACGGTGGGCCGTTTTGTTTTTAAGCACTCACTGTTTTTATAAACAGTTGAGAACCAAATATAAATATAAAACTATTCAAAATGTGAATTTTAATGGTTACATGTTCCAGTTAACAATAATTAATAAAAAGAGTTAAATCTCTCATGAAGGCAGCAAAAACCTTTTTGTACTGATTATAAGTCTATCTCACACCAATTGGACTTGCTTGTACTTTACTGCAGAAACAAACATCAAGCTCCCTGAAATATTTTCACAGTAGAGGGAAATGTTGCTTCATTTGAACTCTGTCCTGTTTGGGTTGGAGTGCGGCCTGCAAACGGTGCCAAAAGTCAGTGGTGTTGCTCTAACTGAGCTGTTTCTGGTAGAACACGCTCAAAAGATTACACAACCAGTGTGATTTATAATCTGGGTCAACATATAGAAAACAAATCTGCTAACTACATAATAGCAAAGGTACCATAAATTAAGCTAAGCTAAACTAAAAATAAGTCTCAAGGTTTCTGTGTTGTCATTTACATCTTGAGCATTAATAAAATCTTCACTAAGCTAAAGGGAATTAAATCAAGATTCAATAAAATTGGCTATGACAAACTTAGACATGCTAACTTGCTAAGGTAAAGTAAAAATATACCAAAGTTAGCTAAAATAAGATGAGATAGGGTAAGCTAAGTAACTTTAGCTTTTAAAATAAACTAGGTTAAGTGGACATAAATTATTAAAAAACAGGATTTGGAAATCTAAAATATGATAAACCACGCTAAGCTAATGTAAGCTAAGTTAAAAGAGGATGTAATGAGCTAAAAGAAAATAAACACTGGGAAGGTAAGATAAATATGGTAATGTAAGCTTAAGTACACTAAAATAAGATTAAAACTGTGCTGAATAACAATATGAAATAAAGTAAGCTAACATGGGCTAAGCTTATTTTTAAGTACAATTTAAAAATATATTTTTGTGCCTCAATCATCACCAATATTTTCTACTTTCTTTACACAACCCTATTTTCTCATATAAAATGAATAAATATATTTATCTCTTCTGTAAATAAGTAAAATGTCCATCGCTCCGAGTCAAAGTGTTGTTTGGTTACCTTGGTACGGGAGCAGCCGTCGCACTCAGACCAGCCTCCATAAGAACCCCATCTACAGTTTACTCTCTGCTGACCACTGGGAAAAGAAGGAATATTTAAAAATACAACCCTAAACTATACTTCATTATTAAAACAACGGTAAAACACGTCACTCTTACCAAACTGCTGACAGCAGAGTAAGTGACAGCGATAACGTAGAAACCAAATACAACTGTAAGCAGAAAGCAGGAAGGTTTATTTGAGTTTAAATGTGATTTATTTGTGGTAAATCCTGTTTTAAATGGTGAATTTTCTGGTTTTACCTTCATGCTGTTCTGGTCAGAGTTTCTCCTCCTCATCTGCTCCAGCTCTGTAACGCTCAGGTCATTTATCAGCAGCAGGATTTCTCAACACTGCCCCGGGTTCAGGAATCCCCTCAATGAAGAAACGTTTGAAACAACCAGGTCCAAACTGACCTGCTTCTGAAATGACCCATAATCTGGATCTGTTTACTCTGCTACAGGGTTTAGTTTAGAGAAACTTGTGTCCAATACTGCAGTTTATTTATTCTGTTTGCTCTGATCATAAAATACACGAAGGAATCGACTGAAAGAAGATACAATTAGTTTTATTTCTTTGTTTTAAAATTGAATAAACTGTAATAAACAATCTTGCTGAGCTCGCCACCTAGTGGTTGGATTAAGAACTTCTTCAATTTGAAGGAAACAAAGCTGAGGGAAATATTCACATCCAACAAGTTTTTCAGTGTTTTCTAATTAAAATATTATTTATTAAGGCTCAAATCTATTCAAGTCAACCTGGTTGTATGTGAAAAACTAATTACACCTGAGAATTAATCGTATTTTGTGGTTCAGTGTCACCAGCTACACTTGGGTCTGAATACTTCAGACCTGTAATATGAATAAATCACTTGAATAGAACCTGACTGACAGCATGAAGTAGGCTAAAAGATCAGACACAGAATCTCCTCATCTAAATAATACCAGAAATCATTGACATTTGACTGGAAACAGTCAAAATTTGTTTTATTTTTTTACTTTTATTCTCCTAGTCATGACTTTAAAACTCAAAATTATGACTTATTTTCATAATTATGACTTTAAAACTGGATTTTCATTTTCATAATTGTGACAAAAACTTGTAAAGATGTCCTTCTTATACTTTTATTTTTCATTCATGGTGGAAATGGACTTCCATTCATAAGAAAAATAATCTGAAACTGAAAAAATTGTAACTGAAAATTTAAACAAAAATCTGATAAACAAATAAAAATTATTATTATTATTATTATAAAAACAATTATAAAAATATGAATTAAAAATAAAACAAGTCTTTTGTTTTCACTTTTTAATGAAGATTTGACATTCAATTTCAAGATGTTTTTTTGGTTTCCAGTAGTTTTGTTTTTCTTTTCAAATGTACGTGGACTCTTGTGGGTTTTATTGTTAAGTCAGCAGTAATGACAATTAAAAAAAAATAAAATTCACAGCAAAATTTTTTTATGAAAAGTACAACGGTGTAGTAGGTCCAGATAAGGCGGGGGAGAAAAAGTAACTTTCTGCCAAACAACTCAGAAATTTTGAATTTGAGTTTGAAAATTCTATAACTATAAATACTTTTTTCCGTAAGTCAAAAATTTTTGACCTTTGAAACTTAGAAATGTTTTCTAGAAAATGTATGAGCTTACTCTCTGAATTTCTGAGTTTTTTGGCAATAATTTACTCCTTTTCTGTTCCTCAAAGATCCGTCATGCTCCCCGTTTCCCCTGCTGTAGCCAGACTCCACCAGCAGATGGCGCCACTCTGTATTTATCGCCGCTGCAGCGCCGCAGATCGACAGTCTCTGTCACACAGCGGGGCGGACAGCTGTCTCCGGGTGAACCACCATCAGCTGCTGTCAGCGCCTCCATTCGGGAGTTTAAGTCCGTGTTTGGTCGCCGTTGTGTCGGTTTGTGTATCGAGGAAACGCCCGGGAGCTCCGGGACTGGGAGCGGAGCAGCGGCGGGTGAACGGGGGGGCTTCTCCGGGGTCAGACCTGCGGGCTGGTGCGCAAGGTAAGAACCAGGATATTCATCTGCGCTCCTTAAAAACAATATTTAAGTGTCCTAAACGCGGTTTATGCTTGTTCTGCTGGAGCTTAATGCTGATTTATTTACACATTTCCTAAAAATCAGGCTGAAATGAGAGAAACGGGGAAAAAGTTAGACCTTCAAACTGTAAACAGACTGAAAGTGGGAAGATTTAACGCGAAATGTAATGGTTGGTTATTATTTTCTGCTTTTTTACCCTCCAAATTTGGACAATTTTCCTTTAAAATTGATATTTTATTAGAAAGTGACATTCCATCAAGCATCAGTATTTTTATCCTTAGTTATTTAGTTTAATATTTGTAACATGTTATATGAGTACTTTAACTGTTTAATTACAGGGCAAAATAAACATTTAACAAACACAAATTAACTTAAAAACAAGAGATGGAAGCACAAACGCATTTATTTCATTCTTTAAAAATCTTAATTCAAATATGATGATCAAAATTAAACATGCAGGTAAATGCATTCACCTGAATAATTGGAAAAATCTGGTATGTCTTTTGAATTTGACAACATTAAGGCACATCTACCTCTAGTTTAGTGAATTATTTCTATTACTTGACCTTATTTAACCAGAAAAAAACTAATCTAGATTTTAAAAAGTAGCACAAAATTAACATTTCACAGACAAAGCTCTGGAAATCTTGCAAAAACATCTGCAAACATGTTTCTCGTGACTCCACACTGTTAGCTTTTGTAATAAAGTCTCCTCTGAGATGATGAAGTTTTTCCCCATCTCAGTTTGCACCTTGTAGCTGAAAATAAAGCGTTTCTGTGAAAGACGGCGACAAGACCCTGAGCTCCTTACATGGACGAGGTTTGAGAGATAAGAGGGAACATGGATACGCCAGTACCTTGGCCTGCACATTGATAAATAGGAGCTTCCAACTGGTTGACGTCATGAACAAACTGGAAATGAACCTTCAGGCACGTAGCCACTGAGGCGAGGCGTTTGTATCCAAACAGCCATTGAGCCGTTTAATACTCAGAACAACAGGAGGAGCAGAAAGACCCAAGAAACTGCAGACTACCACCAAGATGTTACGGTCAGCCAAAAGATGTCACGTTTTTCCAAGAAAACTGACATTTTATTAAATAAGTTGCAAAGTGAATAGATAAGGTTAGAAATAATGATTTCAATCCAGGAGGGTGTGGCATGGCGATGGAAACCATCACATTGTTTCACAGATGGCAGCACGTTTTCAAAGCTAGCAAACATGCTAAGGCGCTAAATGAAAAATTAGCAGATTAGTGGAAATGTTTGCTGCTGACTGTCCTTAAAAACGGGATGACGTCCATTTAATGTCGGATAATAATAATTATCTGATATTATCATTATCTGATAAGTCAGATAATGATAATTATCTGACATTAATCTAGATTTTAAAAACTTGACTCCACACTGTTGGCTTTTGCAATAAAGTCTCCACTCAGATCATGTTGAAGTCTTTCCCCATCTCAGTTTACGCGATACGTCATATACGACGTATCGTGCTTCCATGAACAGGTTAGGATACGTCTGTGGCCTATTCAAAACATGTTCATCACATTTTTTGCACAAAATCATCCTAAGATAATGAGATTTTAGCTCATTTAGGCTGTGAGTTTAACTCTAAATAATCTGCTGCTGACCCCAACTCAACATTTAAACTCACATATGAAAATGGCTGCAAACAGACGCACAACTATACAACTGTACAGTTTTTTAAATCGGTATAAACCCAAATAAAATCAGTATAAATGCAATATGACTGAAACATGCATGTTGGTCATAATTTAAAGCTTCATTAATGTTTCTATGTGATCATTAAAGTGAATAAATTCCTCAGTTTGCTTTCCATGATGAAATCATTCAAATGTTCCAGAAAGAAAAGAAAAGAAAAGAAAAAGAAAAGAGAATAAGAAAAGAAAGAAAAAGGAAAGAAAAGCCCTCAGAAATGAGCGCTGATGGATTTCACAACTTTTGGGGAGTGGAGTGACCCTGAACTGTTGTTTGGACTAGGCCATCCCGATGCCAGCCAGAATTCAGCTGCTTCTTCCTGGAAGGACGGATAAATGTTTCTTTCTAGGAATAAAACCGGTGAATAAACCCGTCTGATAGACTTCTTTACTCAAAGATTAGATGATGTGATTTCTAAGAAAACAATTAGCACATGTAGCTGCCGGGCAGGTAGCCAATGGGGAGCGGCTCGGCGTTTCTGTCGCTTCTGGTTTACATTCAAATTCTTCTGGAAATAAAAGTGAACCTTTTCTGTTTAAAGTGGACAAACGGCTTCATTACAATAGTTTTAACTACAGGCACATGAGCTGCCAGAAAAATAAACATTTACACTGAGCCAGGGGTGTTCAAAGCGCGGCGCAGGGCCAACTGTGTCCCCCAGACCCTTTAATTTAATTACAGCAAAACTTTAAACGTTTTCTGATGAAGATTGTCGGAAACATCACAAACTTTTAGATATGATCACATCTACACTCAAAAACAAACTTTTCTGCTTTTAATTAATGTATAAAACTTTTCTAAATGCAGCAAACATGGTTCTTTTACTGGTCATCCGACCAGTAAAAGAAATGTGTTTTAATACCAAAAAAGTCAACCTTCAAATAATTATGTTCAGTTATGCATTCAATACTTGGTCAGGAATCCTTTTGCAGCCTGAGGTGTTATGGAGGACCAGGATGCTCCGATAGCGGCTTTAAGCTCATCCAGAGTTTTGGGTCTCAACTTTCTCTTCACAATGTCCCACAGATTCTCTATGGGGTTCAGGTCAGGAGAGTTGGCAGGCCAACAGTAACACCATGGTCAGTAACACCATGGTCAGTAACACCATGGTCAGTAATACCAGTGGTTTTGGCACTGTGAGCAGGTGCCAGGTTGTGCTGAAAAATGAAATCTTCATCTCCATAAAGCTTTTCAGCAGATGGAAGCATGAAGTGCTCCAAAATCTTCTGATAGCTGCTGCATTGATCCTGCCCTTGATAAAACACAGTGGACCAACACCAGCAGCTGACATGGCACCCAGACCATCACTGACTGTGGGTACTTGACACTGGACTTCTGGCATTTTGGCATTTCCTTCTCCCCAGTCTTCCTCCAGAGTCTGGCACTTTGATTTCTGAATGACATGTAAAATTTTCTTTCATCTGAAAAAAGTACTTTGGACCACTGAGCAACAGTCCAGTGCTGCTTCTCTGTAGCCCAGGTTTCTGGTTCAAAAGTGGCTTGACCTGGGGAATGCGGCACCTGTAGCCCATTTCCTGCACACGCCTGTGCACAGTGGCTCTGGATGTTTCTACTCCAGACTCAGTCCACTGCTTCCCCCAAGGTCTGGAATCGGCCCTTCTCCACAATCTTCCTCAGGGTCCGGTCACCTCTTCTCGTTGTGCAGCGTTTTCTGCCACACTTTTTCCTTCCTACTGACTTCCCACTGAGGTGCCTTGATATAACACTCTGCAAACAGCCGATTCGTTCAGAAATTTCTTTCTGTTTCTCACCCTCTTGCTTGAGGATGTCAGTGATGGCCTTCTGGACAGCAGTCAGGTCAGCAGTCTGACCCATGATTGCGGTTTTGAGTAACGAACCAGGCTGTGAGTTTTTAAATGCCTCAGGAATCTTTTTCAGGTGTTTAGAGTTACTTTGTTGATTCAGATGATTAATTAGGTTAATTACTCGTTCAGAGAACCTTTTCATGATATGCAAATTTTTTGAGACAGGGATTTTGGGTTTTCATGAGCTGTTTGCCAAAATCATCAGTATTAAAACAATAAAAGACCTGAAATATTTCAGTTGGTGTGCAATGAATCTAAAATATATGACAGTTTAATTTTTATCATTACATTATGGAAAATAATAAACTTTATCACAATATGCAAATTTTTTTAGAAGGACCTGTATATTGTCTGAAACTTTAGTCACCATGTTTACCAAACTCTGTCCCCAGCATGATGCCTCCACCTCCGTACCTGATGGTCTGAAGAGTTTTAATCAGACCTGAAGGCCCATTGAAGGTTCACCGTGTCGCTTATTGAAGAGGAAAATCCACCAAAATGCTAAACTCTCTGCTTCCATTGCAGCTGTTTGTTCTGCTGGAGACAGAATGTCGCAAATAAATCCTGAAATCCCTCAAACACATCAGGGTTTTATTAAACGAGGCTCAGGGAGGAATTTTAACGTCATTTATGTGCAGAAAGAGCGTCATGGTTCTTCACGGTTGGATCTCTGGGTTTTCTGGGTGGAACCAACTGACTTTGTGTTCATGTTTCCATCGCAGATCAACATGACATCTGCGGCGCTCGCGCTGCTTCTCCTCTTCCTCCACGTCTTCGGCCTCCAGTCGCAGCCTGATGCAGGTAGGACTTCCATGTTTCAGGTCCGAACAGCTTCCACTCCTCTGATTAGTTTGTTCCTCGGTGGGTTTTCAGGACAAATCGTCTCTTTAGGTCAGTAAAACTGCAGCCTTGGAGCACAATGCGTGTTGCACAACATGCCTGGCCTCCGCAGAGAGAGCCGGCGGCTTTCTGGTGAAGTGGCTTACCAGGAATTCTGCGGAGCGGGAAAACAATGGGAAGCTTTTTAGTGCGACGGGCCCGGTTTGGGTCCAGCGGCTGCAGAAAAACGCTTCACACATGGCTCACATTTCAGCTGAGGTCTGCAGAGAGTGTTTAGGACCGGTTGGACATCTGGAGCCGGGTTTGGTTGCGTAAAAGTGCAGCGCTCTGGGTTTGGTTTTTATGTTTTATGACTTTTTCTTGAAACTGAAATGACTTTTCTACGACAGCAAAGCGAGATCCAGCAGTTGGTTGTAGAAGCAAAACTGGAGTCTTTTCAGCAAGTGAGAGGAGAAATGTTTGATGAATGGCTCATTCAGACATGTTGGACCACTGACCCGAATAAAATGTTCAGTATTCACACATTTTTTTGTGGAACATAACTCCAAATTATCATCAGACAGTGGTGGGTGCACTTCTGCTAATGCGCTAACAGCATAGCTAATCTTTTACATAAATAATTTGCTAACTTTGAAAACATTTAGCACACTTGGCTTCCCCTAAGTTACATTCTGACATGCTAGTTTTGTAAACTTTCAGTTGAATAAAAGCTCAATAATGTTGAGGTTTTGGTTATTAACTGTTAAATTCTTCACGTAGTTATATGTTTATGCGTTTTTCTAACTTTGCAAACGTTTAGCACACTTTAGCTTCTCCTAAATTACATTCTGAGATGCTAATTTACATGGATGTTTTGTAAATATGTAGTTGAATAAAGTTTGACATCTGTGTTAGCTAACAGTGTTATCCATGGTTTAGAATCTACAGAAAAAATTAAGTCAGGATAAGCTAAGTGCGCTAAATGTTATCAACATTAGCAAAGTGCTAACACGCTTAAACAATTCTCCAGGGTTGATTTACTTGGTTGTTTTCTAATATTCAGTTGAATAAAGTTTAATACGCGTGTTTCAGTTTTGGTTATCGACTATTAAGAAATCTTCATGTAGTTAGATGTTTAGCACGTTAGCATTTTTGCTAACTTTAAAAACATTTAGCTCACTTAGCTTCCCTGAAATTCATTTTTCCAGATACGTTCTAAAGCTCTCATTTACTTGGCTGTTCTGTAAACTTGCAGTTTAATAAAATATTTTTTGTGTATTTTTAAAACGTATTTATTGGAAAAAAAGCTTTTTCTTTTTAAGTTTAGCTCTTTCCTGCCTTCCAGAACAAAAACATAAAAAGAAACTAAAAGCTCAGATACACAAAAGCTACAAAATGAAATTAAAAACAGGAAAGAAAGAAATAAAAATAGAGAGTGCAGATTTTTTGAGTAGCCTCCAGTTTTCCCAGATGCAGAGTTCACTGCAGGACATTTTGAAGTAATGAGTTGACTAAAATAGCTCCACTTTTCAGCCATGTCGAAGCCCTCAGAGGTTCTGCTTCTACGAATCAACCGGACCAAGTTTTCCCAGCCAGGCGGTCTGATTCAGACTTTGTTTGGACTTGTTCTGGTCCTGCTGTTTTCATTTTCACAGTCCTGTTTTGTTAGTGCTCCCTCATGGCTTCCTGCCTGACACTTTCACCTCATTAAAACCACAACAGAATGTGTTCGATTTAACTCTGTTTGGGGGAAAAACATCAGCAGGATTGATTTGAAATGGAGGGAAAAGTGACAGAGGAGTCCAGGCTGCGAGGAGAAGCAGAAGGATTTCCAGTTATTTATGAGGTTTTTCTGCTGGGTCGATCCGGTGCAGGAAGCAGATTCTCCGGCTCATCAGGGCCAGGTTTTCTCCCTGGAGAGGGACACAGGGTTGCCAGATCTGACTGACAGTTTCCAGACCACATACAACAGAAAACCGCAAATCTCAGCTTATAAGAAAACTCATGTCAACAGCACCAGATTTATGTTTATGTTGGCGTATTGGAGCCATAAGAATAATAATAAAAAAGTAAAATTACAAAAATAAAGTCATAAAATTACCAAAGTCAAAATAAGACGAGAATCAAGTCATCTCATATTATTTTCACTTTACTTTGGTAATTTTATGACTTTATTGTCACATTATTTTGACTTTATTCTTGTATTATTTAAACTTTATCATGCGGCTTTACTCTAATAGTACATTTTTATTCTCTTAATTTTATGATTTTAATCTCATATCCACTCAGAACATTTTTCTCATGATTCAACTTTTTTGTTATTGTCTTTGCGTGACTCTAATACTCAGATATAAAAAAAATCTAATTTATGCTTTAAGTCATCGACTGCATTTATAAACTTGTGACATTTTAAAACATTGTTGGTATTCTGACCAGAACCAGATCCAATTTTGACAGCAAACAACTTCAGACTTGGGTAGAAACCCGTCCAACCTGGCAACCCTGCTGGAGCACATTGACTGACGGCTGAATGTTTGCTTTAAATAACCTCTTGGCCCGATTGAAGGCATAATGGCGGCTTCCCAGGGGCCTTAATAGCTCCAAAACTCCTGCTAATTGACACGAAGCGGCCGGCCAGTACGCCGCGTCCCGCCTGATAATTAATGAATGACTTTGTCCGCTAAGTGAATGTTTCCTGCGCCCCAGCGGACAGGAAGCTCATCTGGATTTATGGAAATGCATGCAGGATGTGGTGCTGCGCCCTGAAATAGCTTGCTGGCAGCTTTGGGGGTATAAATCAAGGCGTAAACATGTTTACTGCAGATCTGGTGACGGCTCCGCCATCAGCTTTTTTTGTGTGTGTGATGGGAACACGGCGTGAGGTGACGTTCCCATCTGGGAGATAATCCCGGCGTAAGGAGTAGGGGACGTCCCGCTCCATGCTGTTTACCTTCAGCGGGGTGAACTGTGCCTGACAGCCGCTAAGCAAACAGACACGCTCAAGCTGACGTTACAGAAAGGCGGAGGGAGGGTCAGGGTGTCCGCGGCGCGCACCTTGAAAATGTCCGACCATTTCTTTAGAAGTCTCACTTCATTTAAAAAAATAAAAGTAACACCCCTTCAACTTAAGATCATTTCTTAAATTCTGTTTCAAAAACACTATTTAATACCATATATTCTATGTTTGTTTTTTTTTCTCGCGGGGATTTTCTGTCAGGCAAAAGTTTAAGTCGCACTCGAAGATCTTTGCGTTTTGTGACTCCGGGCGGAGGAGGCTACCGCTAACTAGTTGCTAATATATACTAAAAAAAAAGTCTTAATGTAAAAAAAGTAAGTTGGCGTATAATATATTAATACATTTCTTAAATTCTGTTTGGACAGGACTATTTAATGTATAATCTATTTTTTTCCTCGCCGGGATTTTCTGTCAGCTAAAAGTTTGAGTTCCACTCATCATCATTCTGTTGATTGGAGACGGTTGAGGCTACCGCTAACTAGCTGGTAGCATACCCTTGCTAACTAGTTGGCTAGTTTTTTGTACGATAGCATATTAGGGCCATTGTAGTTAAGAGGGGGGAGAAACGGGAGGAGTGCATTTTTGCCATGAATAGCAGAAATATTGAAATCAATCTCAAGTTTCCTAGACTGATATTTCTGAGTTTCAGAAGTCAAATATTTTCGACCTGGTAATTTTTTTTAATCCATCTGTTTATCCATCCATCTATCCATTCGTTCGTCCATCTGTCTGTTCGTCTATCCAACAAGTCATCCTCCATCCAAAAAACTAGTAAAGTAGAGAAGCCTTGGGTTGTGTTTGCTGAAAAAACCCACCCGCAATTTTCAACTTTTAGAGCTCAAAAAATGTCCAGATTTTTATTTATTTATTTTTTTAAATGAAAATGTAGGGGGTTTTTTTTGGCAGAAATTTACTCAGTTTTTTCTATCTGCAGTACCATCGTAGCTGATGCTACCAGTAGCTAGCTGCTAACATACTAGCTAGCTAGTTAGCCAGTATTTTAGCTTGTTAGCTGGCTAGCTTGAGTTAAGTGTAAATTTATCGCCAGTTTGTTGGATGCCATTCATGCATTTTGGACGTAAAGGTGTTAAATTTCAGTTGGTGGGACCTGTAGGAGCATGTTAGTGGGTCGGCCCGGTTCTGCCAGCCCTCAGGTTCTCTCCTCCACTGAGATTTTCTGACCACATAGCTGGTGTCACATTTTTCTCCTAATCCTGATGAAGCTCGGCCCTGAACAGGAGGAGCCGGTTATCTGGTAAACAGGTTATTTTTAACCCCTGACTCTTGTTCTCTGAAGTGGGCCAATAGTAAAGCATCCATCATCACTATCACTGGGAAACGGCGCTCAGCCAGTCTGGACTTGTGAGGCGTTGAGCTGCTGATGGCCTGCAGGAGGATTCAGGTGGTTTTGTCTGTTTTCATGACCAGAGTGAGGAATGCTGCAGCCGATCCTCTGCTGTAAACGTCCAAACTTTTTTGTCACTTTGACCAAAATCATCAAGTTAAAAGAGAAAACAAAAAACTAGTAAATTCTTGATTTTTTTTGCCTTCTCAGCAGAACATGTATCATTTAAATGAAACAAAGAAAAAATCACCTTAAAGCTGCAGTGTGTAACCTTTATGAAAATATTTGTTTACATATTTGTTGAAGCTATCACTATGTTGTGACTGTATAATCTGTAAAACTGGAACTCCTCTGTTTTCTCCCAGTGTTAACTAGAATTAACCAATCAGAGCTAGGAGGCGGGACTTAGCGCTGTCAATCACTCTCCTTTCTCTCTGCTGCTCTGCAGCTAGCCTATAAGTTAGCATAGCCACTGATGATGGCAGGTAAACAGTTTTTCTGTAATTGTTTCTCAACCAGTAGCACATTTAGCAGCGAGTACATGAGGATAATCAACAGCACTTGGCAGTAATTAAGCCAAAACTGTACAAAATAATATATAAATTTAACATTTTTCACCATCTATAGTAACTCTGAATAATATTTAATTTAAGATTAAAAAAAAAGATATTTTTTTGACCTGAATTATTTTGTTTGGCCCCTTCAATCAGCAGTTACATAACTTTTATGCTAACGAAGCTCTTCGCTCATTATTCTAAAAGAGTTTTAGCTCAGATCCTGAAGCTGCAAAGACACGAAACAACTGGGCTTTTCAGGACAACATGGCGCAAACTGTATTTACTGAAGATGAATGTTTTACTTTGGCGGAACAGACAGCAGAAAGTGGTAATTTCTGCGTTTTCTGGCAGATGTGGTGTTTACTGGGCCCGCAGCCTGCAGCTGCTCCTCCGAGAGCTGCTCCAGGCACACATGCTCTCAATTTGTGCAGGCAGTAAAACCCGAGCCGCACGCCTCTTTCTGTGTGAGCGCGTTTCTTGGTACGGCGAGAACAAACAGATTATTCCACGACAGCGGAGGAGCAAACTCCTCCTGCAGAGAGACGGAAAATGACTTCCAGGAAACGCTGCCGGCCACAGAGAGCCGCTCTGCGCCATCTTATCTGTCATTTCAGCCACTCAGTCATAAATATCAGTAACTGCAAAAACTAAAAGGGACCATCAATGAAAGAAGCAGAAAGCATTATGAGCTTATTTATCTGCCTTCATTCACTGAAAAGGAAAATTTTTCTCAGAATTCTGAGTTTTCCGTCTCAAATTTCTTAATTATTTCTCTAAATTTTAACTTCTTTCCTCAAAATTCTGAATTCCAGTCAGAATTATTTTTATTTTCCAGTTGCCCTAGTCCTCTTCCGTAGTATTTTCTTTATCTTTCCAAATCTGTTTTGGATATTCTTTGGTGTGTATGCGCTTTGTGCGTAGATTTTAAAATATTTTGCTCAGATGTTGGGTTTGTGTGATTTCACCTCACCAGTGACTCCAGCTGCTCTCTCTTCTGCAGTAAAAATCTATCAACTTTTACCGAACACTTCCACACAATATGTCAGATATGAAACAATCAGTGAGTTATGAAAAATATCAGAGGCCTTTTTGTCCTGCAGCTCAAACTGCTTCAAATGCAGGAATAAAAAGGGATAAAGAAGCAGATATTGTTTTTAATAAAATGTGTAAATAATATTTTCTCTTCCTCTCCAGTGCGGCCTCACCTCACCGGCTGCGTCTCTCGCAACATGGAGACGTTCCTCTGCAGATGGAGCGCCGGATCCTTCCAGAACCTCTCAGAACCAAAAGATTTACGCCTGTTCTACTTCAACAGAGTGTAAGGAAAAACATCCACTTCACTAAACCATAAACCTGCATTTTCCTCCACTTCAAAGACGCAGCGAGGATTTTTAAAAACATGAAAACCTGCTTCAGGTTTAGAGCAGAAACATGAACTTGGGCTTAACTGAGATAAAATCAAAGCAGAGTTATCTGTGTACCCAGATCCACCGGGTCAAACAGGCAAAGTCCACCTGTGGGTCAAAGTGATGCTGCTTTAAATCAACCAAGCAAACGCAAATCAAGTTAATGTTTAGCTTATAATAATTTATTTCCACTGGAATAATCATAAAGTGACTTAAACTGGAGCCAGAAGATCAAATATATATATATAAATCCAGTAGTGGGGATGCTAATGCGCTACTAGCAGAACTAATTGTTAGCGCTTTAGCTAACTTTGAAAACATTTAGCATATTTAGCTTCCCTTTACTTAATTTTTTCACATAAATTCTAAAGGTCTAATTTACTTGGCTGCTTTGTAAACTTTCAGTTGAATAAAGTTTGATATCTGTGCTGAAGTTTTGGTTTTTCATGCTCTTATTTTGAAATTAAATGGAGCCCTGAAAATCTAAAAGACTTTTAAACACAGAAGAAATAATATTAGCACTTTCTGATTAGCTTATTAGCTTCCAAACATATGTCGGTGTGCAGTGTATATGTCATGTGCATGATTGACAACAACTGATCAGTTAGGATTTTATAAAGAAAAACTCAATAATTCTTAGGAAATGTTTGTTTTCTGGTGATTTAGCTAGCAGTGCTGAATCAAAACCCCCAGAACGTATCATAAACCAGCATCAATGTCGTCGACTGTCATCCCTTTCAGGCTTCTCGGCAGCTCAGATAAAACTTGGGACGAATGTCCGCAGTACAGCGCAGAGAGACCAGACGAGTGCTTCTTCAACGAGAACCACACCACAGTCTGGACGTCCTACACGGTGCAGCTGCGCTCCAGGGACCGGACCGTCCTCTACGACGAGATCTCCTTCTCCCTGGAAGACCTCGGTGAGTTCACGGCCACAGAGAAACGTAGGAAAGTCCAGATTGGTTTCTGGATTCCACTGGAGAGAAACCTTCCTCCTGTTAGCGGGACAGAAAGCAGATTCTTCTGCAGAAGACATGACGTCTAACTGGTTTTAATTATGAAAAGTGTTGGGATCAATTAGAGAAAATGTGTTTGAATTTTCTGCCTGTTTTGATCCTGTTTCTGCTCTGCAGTGCAACCGGACCCTCCGTTCGGCCTGAACTGGACGCTGATGAACGTCAGCCTGACGGGATCGCACTTCGACGCCATGCTGAGCTGGAGGCCTCCGGCGACGGCTGACGTGGAGACGGGATGGATGGCGCTGCAGTACGATGCCCAGTACCGCCAGGCCGGCGCCGAGCGCTGGGAACAGGTGGGCGGCCATGCCGGCTGCGTTACGGTGCAGAGGATAGTTACAACAATCAGTCAAATCTATTTGTCTCAAAGTTAAGCCACCAGCTGAGAATTCAAACAAGACTTTTTCAGCCTCCTGTTAATAAAAATAAGAAATAAAAGAATAGGAAGTTAAAATAAACAGAGAAAACTAAAGACTGTGTTGTGAAATCCAATTGTTTTCTCGTTGTTCCTCATGTGACAGAAGGCTGACTTTGTAACTGTCTCTATGTGACTCTGAAGGCTCAGATTTCAGCCTGATCTCCAGTTTCCAGCTGCAGTAACTGAAGCTGTGCTAACTGTAGATGGTTCCTCTTTATTTCCAGAGATAATAACTTGAGTTTTTAACCCTTTGTGCTCCTCAGACCGGCCTGGTGAAAACAACGCACCGCTCCCTGTTCGGCCTTCAAACCAACGTCAACTATGAGGTCAGAGTTCGCTGCAAAATGCTGGCAGGGAAGGACTTTGGAGACTTCAGCGACTCTGTGTTCATCCACATCCCATCTAAAGGTAAACGCTTATAAAGCTGTGTTAAAACTTTTTGCTTTTTCAATTCACTCATTTTACTGTTTTTTGTCCTTCAGTTTCCAGATTCCCAGTTATGGCTCTGCTCATCTTTGGAGCGTTGTTTTTAGTGGCCGTCCTGCTGCTGGTCATCATTTCACAGCAGGAAAAGTTAGTATCTGATCGTCAGAATATTTGAGTCTGAACCAAGAGAATGAAGAAGAAATGAGATTTCTGCTGTTTTCTTTCCTGCTTCAGGTTGATGTTTATCCTCCTGCCTCCTGTTCCTGGACCGAAAATACGAGGAATCGACCCGAATCTACTGAAGGCAAGTTTCCACAAGAACAATAAAAGACATCATAAAATACATGTAGTTTTATTAGTATATATATTTTTTAATTAAATGCATTTATTTTTTCCTACAGTTGAGCTTTTTTCTGGCTAAAATTATGCACTTCAAAAACACAAAATCTTACAAAGTATTTTTGTTCTGGTTTCTAATGCAAAAACACTTGAAATAAGACAAAACTAACTTACAACTGAACAGCAAGATATAAGAGCTTGTTTTAAGTAAATAATTAATATTAAACTTATAACAAGATATTTGACCATGTTATAATAACAAGACTATGATATTGTGTAAAAAAAATGCAATGAACATATTTTGTATAAACCCATGGTTGAGTTGCTAGGTGACGGGCGGAACTCTGCTGGGGTTGCTAGGTGACGGGCGGATCTCTGCTGGGGTTGCTAGGCAACAGCCTGCTGATTTGTGACATTACATTCTGGAAGTTTTTGAAATGACTCATTTCCCAGAACCTAAAAACAGACTTTTGCCAAAAAACATCTCGGTGTTTATTTTAGGCATCTGGGTTGGTTTTAGAAGCCAGTTAGACCCAAATGGAATCACAAAAACATTTAAGATGTGAATTTTTACGTTCTATTTAAGGTCGAAATTGAAATATAAATGTCTATTTTGGGTTCTGTGGGAAGTCATGGGTGTCTGAACTGTGTCTATTTCAGAAAGGGAAACTCCGAGAGCTCACATCCATCCTCACCGGCCCGCCCGACCTCAGGCCAGAGCTCTACAACAACGACCCCTGGGTGGAGTTCATCGACCTGGACATCGAGGAGTCCAATGACAAGCTGCTGGACATGAACACGGGCTGCCTCATGGACCACTCCCCGATGTCTCCACGCTCGGCCGTCTTCAGGGACAACGACTCGGGCCGCTCCAGCTGCTGTGAGCCGGATCTGCTGAGTGAGGCGAGCGCGTCGCCCGTCCATCAGGAGGCGAGCACCGCAGAGCAAAGTTCAGTGTTTGTAGCAGTGGAGGGCAGGGAGGCGGCAGCGTACACGCAGGTCGGCGAGGTCAGGTCATCTGGGAGCGTTCTGCTGGAGAAAACCACTATTAAAGAGACAAACATGGAGGAGGAGAAGGGGAAGAAACAAGATGACGTCTTGGTGAATGCAGATCAGAGAGACTGCAGCTCTGAGATGAAGCGGTTAGCAGAGCTTCCGGAGAGCGTGGCCCAGCTGCCTGCTGCTCCTGTCTACACCGTGGTGGAAGGCGTGGACATGCAGAACAGCCTCCTACTTACACCAACGCCAGCCCCCAACCCAACCGGCCCCAAAATCCCAGCTACGCCCGACGGCTACCTGACCCCCGACCTGCTGGGAAGCGTCACGCCGTAAATCAGCCGGGGATTGAATCACCCACAACTTGTTAATCTAAAGGGAGGTCAGTTCATGGAGGTGCCCTGACTGGGTTTCAGCTAGCTTAAAATAGCTAGTGGAGCAGCAGGAGCCTGAGGCGTTCAGAGAAACCTGGACCCAGCAACACTGTTGCACCTTAAACCAGCACAGCGTAAATAAAGATCTCTGCTAAGCTGCACTTATCAGTTCATGTCAGCGCGCTAGTAAAGGCTAATAAAGATGCTACAGGGAAGATCTGAATCTGTAGATGGGAAATCAGAGGGAGCAAATACCAGTGGTGAGCACCGCTAGCTAACAAGGAAGCTACACTAACTAAAGCGCTAATTTGTTCCGATAATGCTAAGGCGCTACTCCATTTAGCAAAAGCTAACACTAAAGTGGTATACTATTTAGTTTTTTAGCTAGCGGTAAAGTGCTGCACCACTTAGCTTTGTTAGCAGAAGCTAATGCTAATGTGCTAAGACGCTAACTTCAATTCAAATTGTATCTGCCCCTGAAAGACTACAACTCTCAAACATCAGTTTAATTTTGACTTCATAATTTATGTCATTTATGCCTTTTGATATTATATTTGTTTACATCTTATTTTTTAATGTCATCTTGTTTGTTTGTTTCATGTTTAAAATGTCATTGGAGGCAAAAAAAAACGGAGTAAAGTGAGAAGAAGAAACAGAACTGCTGCGTAAACAGTTTTTACCCCTTTCAAAATAAGAGTATGACTATAAACGTCTAACTACTTGAAGAATTCAATAACACAAACTTCAACACAGATGAAGTTTGGGTTTATAAAAGAGCCAAGTAAATTAGTGCTTTATAATTTATAAGAAAAAATTAATTTAGGGGATGTTAAGTGCGCAAATGTTTTCAAATTTAGTAAAAATGCTAAAGTGCTAACTGGAAAAAATAGCTATGCTATTAGCAGGTTAGTGTGCCCACCACTGACGAATGCCACCATTTTTGCCTCATAAATAATTGATTTAGAACAAATTAAGTGAGGTTTGATGATGACATTCGTCTGTTCTGGTGGAATAAAGTTAGCACACCCTCTTCCAGTTAAATGGTCTCATCGCTGTGTGGCTTAATTTAAAAAGCAGGTTTGAATCTCATAATCTAAATTGTGAAGGAAAAAGGTCAGAAAAGGTCAATATTGTAACACGTTCTGAAAATCCAGGTGCTCTGTAATTATAGAGAAATAACTTGTGTCATAATTTTGTCTTTTTTCAGTATTTAAACACCAGTATTCACTAATTCAACTGCTACATAATCTATGAAAATAATAAACAAAAAAGTCATGCATTTACTTTTTTATGTATTTAATACTTTCAGCTTTGTTTTAATATTTCTGTCATGTTTCACTTGGTAATGTTGATGCTGTTTCATATATGAAGCCTAAAGAAAAGGCGAATAAATCTTCATTTCTACACTAAAGCATTACTGGACTGTAAATTATCCTTTTATTTTAGTGCCTGTTCTTCTTTTCATTTAAAACTGAAATATTTTTGAAGTTTTAATTTTTTGTGTATTTTTTGCCGTTACATCTGAGTAATTTGTATTCATTTATGATTTGAAATCACGCATGTATTTTCTTCTTCGCTGTCTGACATTAACTAAACTTCCTGTTGTCGGTCAGTTATGTTTGGAGAATTCTTCCAGGTGTCAAACTCGAGGCACGGGGGCCAAATCCGGCCCGTCAGAAGTTTTAATGTGGCCCTTTTATGTTAAAGTGTCCTTAAATATTATTTTATCTATCGGATCAGCAGTTTTATCTGTATTCTGCCAAATTAGATCAGGATGAAAATATATTTTATGTTATTTAACTTTAAGAAGTTCTCATTGAGTGGAAAAATACTGAATATTTTAACAGTTTAATCGCTAGTTTTGTTAGCACATTCCGCCACAACTGGCCCTTTGAAAATATTAGATTAGTTTCATTTAATGTCATAAATAGAAGGTTGTATTTCTTATAACAGTAAATGACTGATTTCAGCTGCATTTGTTAAACCTGTTTAGCTTTCTGTAAGAAGTTACCTTCAGCTGGATGATGAGCAGGAAAACTGGAGGTAACATTTAGCAAATGGTCAAGGAAGTGGACTGATAAAATGAGGTTTAATCTTAATTTTCTTTGCATGAATGTTTGGACAATCTTTGGAAAACTTTCCAGACATTTGTGGATCCATCTCATGTCAGCATCTAGAAAGGGAAATGGCTTCTTTTCTGCCAATAATATGGGTCACAATAAATGTAAAAAAAAAACATTCAAATTTTATAAAGTTACACATTAAACAACTTTTCAACAACTTATGTTGCTGTCTTGTTTTAATCTGATCTCTTTGAAGTGTCCTTGAAATTGGTTGGCTGTCTTCCGCAAGGTGGCCATTTTGGATTTTGAGGTCAGGGTTAAAATTCAACATCAAAGGGTCATTTTATTAATGTTTTAATTAAGATTCAATAAGAACAATTTAAATACTATTTTATAATTTAAATATATTATTTGCGTGAATTTTAGTGATAATGTTAGTTAATGACCAGTGGATGATAAATATAGTTTGCATGATAACACTGTATATCTGCTGTTCAATTTTACATGTGGTCAACTATGAAAACTAAAACGGACTCCTACTTTCCTTGGGCTGCCAATAAAAGAACTTGGTGATGGAAAAAGTCAATAATAATAATAGTTTTTATTATTAATATGCTTTTGTTTTTTTGTTTTTAAACCTGATCTGGAAGCTCTCCCTTACTGAAGCTCGCACTGTTCTCAAAATGGCGGCAGCTCGTTTCGTCAGCTGTTAGCTTAGCGTCAGTAACAAATACAGACACAAAAACGTAAAACTACATAATTCAAACATTTGTTTTGGTATTTCTTTTATCCAACGGGATGGCGAAGTTAAACTGCGTGAAACTGGAGGGATTTATGGCGGAATTCGGTCGACTGGAACAGGTAAGGAACGGCTAGCTTAGCTAGCTAAGTTTGGACTAACGCTCTTTACCGGAGTGATGGCGTTAGGCACAAAACGATCTTTTCCTCGCTTTTAATTTTTATAACATGTTGAGTGAACCCATTTTTTCACTTTTCGTTTTGATATTGTGCCTGTTTTATGTTTAAGTTTGGAAATGTATCATTTTAGTCAAACTTTAAAGCTACCATAATATTGCACATTCGACACTATATTTAATGTACCACTCTACTTAGACTGGGCGAACAGGGTCTGCAGTCCAGTTTCTTTTATAATTGATGAAACTTGTTTAGACATTTTTATGGAAAAACAAAAACTCCGGAAAAAAAATCTAGGAAAAATTCAGGTGTTTGTCCAGCAAATTTGCGACTTTTTTGAAACCCAGAAAGTTAAATTTTTTTCAGCCTTTGCTCTGACACTGAATGTATTTTCCACGATTGTTTGTTTTAAGGGAATTGATATTGAACGCAGCATTTTCTCTTTATTGTGTTTTTCAGAACATTACAGAGCTGAATGGTGCTAGAAACCTCCTGGAGATCAGGCTGGAGGATTCCAACAGGCTGGTGAACTTCTATGTAAATAAGGAGCAGAGTCTCAGAGACGGTGAGGATCTTTGTTTGTTTGTAGTTGAACTTGTGTTTTTTGTCTCCCTCTAGTGGCGTTTTGCAGTCAGAACAGTTCACTGTTTTCATCCCGAGCTGAAAAACTTCAACCGAAGAGTATTGGGGCTAAATTAGAGGTTTTATTTAAATTATGAGAATCATGTCATAATTTTATGACAATAATAATAGTAATATTAGCAGAATATGTCATAAAATGATTTTACTTTTATTAAAATTAGTTTTAATGAGAGTAATATGATAGGTGTCAGGATTTGACATGATCATCTTCTCTAGACTTAATTTTTTATCTTTTAAATTCACTTGTTTGCAGAACTATTTTAAGGTCCTTCTACTATAACATTTTGATGCTGATGTATTAAAATATTATCTCCTATCTGCAAAACTAATACCAACACAAGTTGTTCAAAAATCCCCATTTTAATAATTTATATTTTTTCATGTAGGAGTTATAAAGTTACAGTTTCATTCTGCTAATATTCCACATTTTTCTGGAAATACTGAGTTTATTCTCATATTATTATGACTATTCTCGTAATAATATCAACTCATTCTCTTGATTTTTATTTTATTTTACTGATAATAATAACATAATTTTACTGAATTTTAGCTTTATATTTTCCTTTTTTACTCCATTGCGTAGGTTTGCTGATTTTTTTATTATTATAAAACATTTCTAAGGCAGATTTCTAAATTGATTTTTACTGAAGTGATTCTTTGAGGTCAGTGTTTGCAGCAGGTTGATGCTGTTTGCAGAGAAGGAGAGCCTCCTGCTGACGGTGGACCGGCTGCATCAGACGCTGCAGGAGCAATGTGACCTCAGAGGTGACGGCGCCACCTGCTGGTGGGAAGAGTTAAAACTCCAGAGAAACCCAACAGAGGCTTGAGGAAAAGACGTGTATTCATCCTGGACGTGGTTTAATGATTTACTTCAACAGTTCCAGTTTGTGCAGCAGTAAAGCTAATATAGAAAGAGCCCTCAACATAATGCTGCCACCACCGTGTTTGACAGTTGCTGCAGTTCTGTCTTCATAAGAAACATTTAACTAATATTTAGTGGGAGTTTTTCATCATCAGCCATTTTTATGTCAACATTTTTTTTTTTTAAATTTTGATTAGAAACGGCAAAACTCCAAATAACTTCCTTAATTTAGTCGTTTCCAGAAAAGAGTTGATTTGTTAAAGATGAAGCATCTTTAGCACCAAAAAAGGTCAAAGTTCAAACCTCTACTTTCTGCTTGTGACAGCCATGAGTAACGTTGATATCTGAAGAATCATTGATCATCGATTAGTTTCTAATGGAAACAGTTTAAGTTTCCATGTGGATTAGTGGAAATCCACTAAACATTCAAACTGGTGCAACAATCTTTTTTTTAAAGTTTATTGTTTTTAATCTTCATTGAAAATATTATTGAAAGCCTGAAATCTGAATGGAAACAGCTGAGTGTGTCTGATGGGATTTTGGTTTTATGAAATAATCTGTGAATGTTTGAAGCTCCAAACAAAGTGAATTATTTTAATCCAGAACAACAGGACGAGTTTTAGGGGGTAAACTTTATGTTTATGTTGTTTTTGTTATTTAATTTTTGACGTTTCAGTGGAAAACAAGAAGCTGAGGATGGAGGTGGAGGATCTGAAGGAAGAGAATGAAAGAACAGCCGAGGTGAAAACAGGAACAAACTGGTTTTAAAAGGCCTGAATGTGAATGTTCCTTATTTTAACTCTGTGCTAATGCAGCTTTTCATGTAGGAGTTCTCATAAAAATATTACCTTATTCTGGTCACTGATAACAGATTATATGTTACGATTTTACTCTCGTTTCATCATCGACTTTATTCTGTCTCTGATTCAGTCTCATCTCTACCAGACTAGGATTAATGAAGCTGAATAAACTCCTTCATTTTGTCTGGTTCTGTTTTGCAGGCTGGACGGTCCGACGTCCAGCTGCTGCTCAGCCAGATGGCAGCAGCTGAGGACAGACACCAGAGGGCGCTAGAGGCCGTCAAACAGCAGAGCAGCAGAGAGGTAGAGGAGGCGCAGATACAGGCGCAGAGGCAGAGTAAGGGTTAATAAACTTATTAACTTTAACTGGTTATGGTTTTTATTTATTAGTTTCAACCATTTATTTCCTGGTTTATTTTAGTTTTTGTTTTTAGAAATGCCGTCTGTCCAGTGGAAACCCATCAGTTTGGTATAAACCAGTTTTCAGGGGTTTGTTGTTTTTCCAGTGGAAGCTAAAGATGCTGAAGTTCAGCAGCAGCTGGAGGAGATGAAGACGAGGATGAAGGAGCAGGAGAGGGAGCGGCAGAGCGAGATGCTCAAGCTGCAGATGGAGGTCAGTGAAAAAATCATTGTTTTGTTATGAAAGGTCACAGCTGCTGCTTATCATTTAACAGTTTATTTGTTACATCTCAGAATCAGATGTAACTGTTTATAATGTTTATAATTTCTCATATTCTGCAACTCCAGAGTGTTTAGTCAGTTTTCTGGTTCGTTGCGCCCCCTGCTGACACCCACAGGTACTGCAGGAGGCTGGACCTGCTATGGATGAGCTTGTTTAGAATCAATTAATCAGTTAATTGGATAAAAAACTGGCATTCTGCAGATTTTTCATTTAACCACTTAAGCTGTTTTATATAACACAATGTTATAAATACATTATAATATGCAAATGAACAAATAACTGAAAACTTCTGTAAATAAGAAAATAAACTTTATTCTCTAAAATGTAACAGAATTCCTTCAGCGAACGATTAATTGATGATTTGAAAAGATCTGAGTTAAATAAACTGAATGTGTGACTTTCTGGACTAGTTGTATCATTTACTCCACCCTGCTGCTGTTTTTATTTTAATGTTTTTTTTGTTTAGTTATGTTGAGCTAAGAAAAACTGGGGAAAAAATAATTTAACAGTTTTAAAGAAGTTTTTTTAACAAACGTTGAACCAGGTGAAGATAAAATATTTCCCATCCAGAGATCCTCAAGAAATTCTTTTGAATGATTTAAAATGAGAAATGTTTATTTTTTGTAGAGTTTTGGCTTCATTTGAACTTTTTGTTCTTTCAGCAAATGGCCTGTTTGAGTCTCTAAGCTCCATTTATTGAGTCATGATTAATCAAATAATGGTGATTAATTAAGATGTAATTAATTTAACCGTTTCAGTCCCAGTTTGAAGCAGGTTGTTAAACCTGCCTGAACTAAACGATTCATTTGGATCCTCCAGTTTGAGCCGTTTGTTTATGTTTCTGCTTGTGTTTTCTAACAGTTTGGTGCGAAGTTAGCTCGGGTTCAAAGTTCAGCCCAGAGGAACCAGCAGCAGCTTCATGGATCCAACCTTCTGCCTCAGAGCGTCTTCAAGCGGGTGAGCAGAAACAAACCTCAGGTTCTGATAGACTGACCCAGATCTTAGCCCTGTGTGTGTGTGTGTGTGTGTGTGTGTGTGTGTGTGTGTGTGTGTGTGTGTTTGATCAGAAGCTGCAGTTTTTCCAGGAGGAGAAGAATAAAGAGATTGCGGCTCTACGTCAGAGAATCAAGGAGCTGGAGGAGAGCCAGGGCGCCGTCAGCAGCAGCAGCAGCTATACGAAGAGGAGGAAGTTCTAGTTTGACTCGGTCGTGTTCAGAAAAGTTCAGATTCGTGTTCTGGTTGCCGTAGCTTCGTTTTCTTCGTCGTCTTCGTCTTTTTCTCGTTCTGGAAGCACGTTGGACCCCACACTGCCGGCCGTCAGAGGCTCTAATCCCATTAGTCAGCAGCAGAGGAGGACGCTGAATGAGACGCTAATCTGTTCCTGCAGCTTGAATCTGTTTCCATTCAGAGAAATAAATCAGTCGACTGCTTTCCGTAGACTCATTAATTCAGCTTTAAAATCTCACAGTTTGGTTTTGGTTTGATGTTTGAAAGCCTGAAAAAGGTTTTCTGAGAAACACCAGGCTCATGGTGGAATGAAATGCACCCTTTACATATGGAAAAACTAAGTACACCCACCTGTAGCAGGAAAAACTTCTTCAGTATTTAGCAATATAGATAGTTCTGGAGCAGTTTGGGTCTAATCTTTAGTAGTTTCCCCACCGGAGCTGGTTGTTAAGATGCGTTACCGTGGCAACAAGGTGTCGTTTTTACAACAATATCTGAACTACGACCATAAATCCCAGAGGCGTTGAAAAGGTGGAAGCTGAAACTTCACTTCCTTCCTTCTTATCCCATGACAGAGATGGAAAGAAGAGCAGCAAAAGCAAAGGAGGTGGATCAGCAGAGCTTTTCTAACAGCTGATTCAGGACACACTGCTGAGAAATATGATCTATAATTTGACTAATTAGAGATGATAATCAATTAATTGATTACTAAATTTGAGTATCAGGCTCTAAAAAGGATAATTTATTGACAAACCAACATTCAAAGCAGTAATTAAGTCAAAACTGTTCAATATATATAATGTATGTATATTCATATTTGACATTTCAGATGGAAAAAACACCTTTATTTGTACCCATGTTTTAATCAGAACTCTTGAAGTGGCCGTTTAGCTTCACCTGGTTCAAATTTAAAAAAAGGAAAGAAATTATTTAGCACCTTTTGCTATTTAGTAATTAATCTGTAATTGTATTTTTTTTCTTTCAGTGTCCAAAGGTAAAACATGCAGGATGTGGCCACTTATTAACCTGGTTAATCGTCATATTATTTGATTGTTCAGACGAACTAAACGATGAGTTAATTGTCGGCGGAGCCACGTTGCTGCTCAGGTGTTCCCACCTGAATGAGCTGCTCTCCAGCCAGGTTCTGATCTTGTTCCCTCTAATCTGTTTATCTCTGCTCTGCAGCCGCGCTCTAAACTGGACTGTCCTCTAATCTGGACGAGAACATCGGCTAATGCCGTTGCATAACGGTTCATCTTCAACCGAGCCTCCAGGGAATGAAACGCCTCATTTCCTCCCACCTGACCTCAGTCTGCATAAATATCCCACATTCTGATGATTAAAAACATAAAATACAGACAGAACCAGAAGCTTTTGTTTGTTTCGGTTTAAATGTAGCGGGTCAGAGTTGAACTCAAACAGGATTAGCGATCATGGACACCATCTTGGCCGCTGTCCATTGCTGGAGGGATGAAGAGGCGTGGCCTGTGGCGTCGTCTCAGCCTCCTCCTCCTCACCTGTCTGCCGTGTGTTGGGTCGACAGTCTCAGCTCTCTGTTGGAGAGGAAACGGGTGGAGGCGGTGATGCTCTGACCTCAGCATGTGAGAAGGTTCTGGTTCTCTGGGTCCGTCTGGACCGGACTGTTTGGAGAGGACTCCATCCACGGCCATGTTCTGAAGAAGACGGGCGGTTTGGACAGCTGGTGAGATCTTTACTTTTAACCTGGTTGTAAAAACTTGGAAGCCTGTGGGATTATTAATGGATCTGATTCCAAAAATAATCACAAAAGGAACTGTATTCCTCTATGGACGAGTGATGCTAATTAGCATCATACCTATTTTGTTATCAATACATACAAGATGGTGTGTAAATACTCTTTATTGGTTGATTCATATGACTCTCATATTAGAAGTGATTGATACCATCTAGTGGTCAGAGTGTGAATTACATGGAGTTCTGCTGAAAAACTCTGTAAATGATCTTAACCTTGAACTAGATTATATTAAGACTGATAAATGTCTTCTATACATGATATATTAAGATAAACAACATGTGAACAAAGTTCCAAAAGTTATTTTTCTGGCTGTTTTGCATTAAAACAAACAGAAATGTTGGGTGGTTTAAGACTTTTGCACGGCTCCAGGGTTGTTCTGAGTCCTCTGGTGTCTGTTTCGCAGCGATGCCTGGAAGCCAGTACCAGCTGACCCGCACCAGGCTGAGCCACAGCCTGTACAGCCTGACGGACAGCTCGGACGGCGGCCATGAGGAGGAGCGGCCCAACGACGCGCCGCGCCTCACGCCGCTGCAGAAGCTGACGGCGGCCATGTGCAAAGACGAGAAGACCATCAAGGAGCTGATCATCGGCCGCAGGGTGGGCTTCTACAAGGTCAGAGGGGAGATCGGCTACGGGACTTTCTCCAGGGTCAAACTGGCGTTCCACGCCCTGACCAAAGGTACCATCAGAACCTCACCTGCTATCTGTCAAGTGTGGATATATTAGCAATTAGCATTTAATATTGTCCATTAGCCTCTTGAATTTCAAGATGACTATCATTTTTCAAGATGGCCGCCATTTTTAAACCATTTATTACAGTAAAATGTTTTAATATTTTGGATGAACTTTTTGTCTCAGCCTGTTTCTTTCTTCACAATCAGCTTTTCTGATTTTGCTACATATTATTACTTTTCAACTTTGGTAATAAGTTAAACATACCATGTGACAGTCATCTTAATGGTTAGCATTAGCTTCTGCTAACTTTTTCATGTGTTTTGGAGTGTAGCGTTAAATTTTAGTGGTGAGTGAAGCTAACTCTTTGGTTAGTAGTGTACATAACTACTATGGACATAAATATGTTGTGCATTACAACCATGGCAGCCATTTTGAAAAATATCCACCAGTAAAAAGAAACAAGATCAAGAAAATATGTATGATTGTTGTTGTTCAAAACATGTAGGCTATGAAACCCATCCATCTGTTTGGCAATGTTAAAGCAAAAATTTCCAATGACAACCACGGTGGCCATCTTGAAAAATCAAAAAAAAGATGGATAATATGGGTCCAATCATTTCACTTGACACAAAATTATTCATCTGTGGTAAATATTGGCACCATTTCCTTGATGACCGTGGCAGCCATCTTGATTTTTTCCATTTTTATTAATCTGTCTGCTGCTCCTCTACTCTTGTTGTCCTGCAAACAGACAAAGTGGCTCTGAAGATCCTGGACCGGACGCGGCTGGACTCCCAGACCCAGCAGCTGCTGTCCAGGGAGATCAGCAGCATGGAGTGCCTGCAGCACCCCAACGTGATCCGGCTGTACGAGGTGGTGGAGACGCCCAGCCGCCTCTTCCTGGTGCTGGAGTACGCCGGAGGAGGAGATCTGCACAACCGGATCTGCAGCGAGGGGAAGCTGTGCGACAACACCAGCAAGATCACCTTCGCCCAGATCCTCTCTGCCGTCAAGTACATGGTGGGCGATTCTTCAGAAACCTTTTGCTCCAACTGTTTATAGGAACATAAGAACCAATCAGTGGCTAACCCTAAACCGCTAATCATAAACAATAGTTCTGCTAATGCTAAATTGCTAAACCAGTATGGTGTTTATTGGATGCTAATGCTAAAGCTGAAAACAATGAAAACAACATTAGAGTTACTCAATGTGACATTTAGCTTCCTGCAGCTACATCAGCCAATCAGTTCTTGTAGCATCACACATCCATTGCAACCACGGCAGCCATTTTGAAAAATGTCCACCAGGAAACAGAAACACAAAATCAAGAAAATAGATGATTTTTATTGTTCAGAATATGTAGGCTATGATTTGACATCAAACATGTTTATCTAATTGGCAGTTTTAGAGTAAAAGTTAAAACATCAATATTATCCTTCCAGTCCAACCAGTTCTGGATCTGCAGAACCAGTCCAACCCGTCTCTGTTTCCCCTTCAGCACAACTTGAACATCATCCACCGCGACCTGAAAGCGGAGAACGTTCTGTTCACCTCCGCCGGCTGCGTCAAAGTCGCCGACTTTGGCTTCAGCACGCGCGTGGCGAGCCGCGGCAGCGCGCTGGACACGTTCTGCGGCTCGCCGCCGTACGCCGCCCCGGAGCTGTTCAGGGACGACAGCTACCTGGGCCCGCCGGTGGACGTCTGGGCCATGGGGGTCCTGCTGTTCTTCATGGTGACCGGCACCATGCCGTTCCGGGCCGACACCATGGGCAAGCTGCGGCGCTGCATCATGGAGGCCAGCTACGCCATCCCGCCCTGGGTGCCGGGCCCCTGCCAGCGGCTCATCAGGGGCATCCTGAAGCCGCTCGCCGCCGAGCGCTACGCCGTGGACCAGATGCTGGGCTGCGATTGGCTGCTGCCTGTGGAGTTCCCCTGGGCGCTGGCGCCGCCGGAGCCGCCCGGCCCGCTGCAGAGCCTGCTGGAGTCGGAGCGCGGGAACCAGGAGGACGAGGAGGTGGAGGAGGAGGTGCGGAGCGCCCTGGAGGAGCTGGGCTTCACCGCCGAACACCTCCGCAACCACCAGCTGACGGACAGCCGCAGCCCCGTCACCGGCGTCTACCGCATCCTGCTGCACCGCACGCAGAAGAGGTGGGGCTGCGACTCGCTGCCCGTGGTCCGCGGTGTGGTCAGGGACCCCAAGAGGGAGGGGCTGCGGGCCTACAGGGGCCTCAGGCACACCTCCAAGTTCTGTGTGCTGTCATAACGGACCACTACGGGTCGGTCTGCGGCCTAATCAAATCATTCCTAGATAACGAGAGTTTAGTCTTTCAATCCAGACAAGCTGCTGGCCACGCCCCCAACTCAACGTTTACACCTGCACCTGAAAATGGCCGCAAACAGATCCACAATTATACAACAGAACATCTTTGAAAAGCAGAAGTGGAGCCTCCTGCACAGCCCAATCATGGACCAATCATGTCTTTCTTTTTTGCTACGTAACGATCTGAGAAGTTACATTCAGGAAGTTTTTTCCTTCCAGACCCAAGAAAAAAATTGCCAACAAATGGCTGGTGTTTTTTTTAAGTGCTCTGGTTTGTTTTTAGAAACATTTGAGACCCAAATGGAAGAACGAAAACCTTCAACATCTCTCCTTTAACAGCTTCCACTTTGCTTAGATTCATGTTTTATACTGAGTTCAGTGCTGGAAACTTTTCTGTCATTATTTATGTGAAAGTGCCTGAAAAACAAGAAATAAAATGAATGTGAGGTCAAAGGTGAAACCTGAAATTTGAAATGTTTTTTTTTCTTTTTTCAAAACCATTTTGTTTAAATGTTGACAGTCCAACAAAAAGTGCTACAAGGAATTAAGTTCAGAAATCCAAACTGATGTTGTGGACAGGAATGATCTCCAGTAGCAGTCAGTCTCGCAGGGAATCTGAAGATACCTCTGACTAACAGCTCAGTATCTGGATGGCAGAGACATAGCATTTTCTGGATGACATCATCAGTTGTTAGCTGGCTTTGCTAATCCTGCTCCTTTGCTTTTGCTGCTCCTCTTTAAATCTGTTTAACTGTACGGTCAGTAAGTAGCAGCTCAGGTATTGGCAGAGCTTCTAAAATGCAAACCAGCTGTAATTAGTTGTAAAAACCCAAAATGCACTGTTGCCATGGTTACACATCATTATAAATGGCCCATAGTCCTCTCGGCAAGAAAATATTAGCGAGAAAAGAGAAAAAACCTCGGAAATTTCTGAGATTAAAAATTTCTAGGTTTCAAAAGTTGATTTGTAATATTTCAAGCAATTCTTTTCTAGAAATAAACTTCTGAAACTGCTGAGATCTTAAACTTCCTATTTATTTCCTAGAAAATCCCTGAGTCTCTTTCTTGCAAATGTTTTCTGAGGGTTTTTTTTTTCACTCATGGACCATTTGCTTTGATGCATAAATGTCAAAAGTTGATTTCTAGAAAAAAAAATTGCTTGAAAATTTCCAAATCAACTTATGAATTTTTCTTTTCGTAAGGCACCGTCATAAAAATGTGAGGAAGCCCAGGAATATGCAGTAAAAGTGAAAGTTTCATTCTGTGTTTTTCCAGCCTGGTTGGTGTGGAGCAGGTGGCCCCTGCAGGGCCCCAAACATCTGATCTGTTTACTGTCACACAGTTGGTAAAAGTTTGGTAAACAGCAGCACCTGGCCGGACCGAACCCTCCCTCTGGTTTCTCTTTCTTCCCTCAGCCTGACTCCGCCCACCTGACCCCTCTGACCCGGGCGGCAGATGGCGCGGCGTGGCCCCGGAGACATCTGCAGCCCAGACAAAGGGCCCTCTGTGCGCAGCAGCTATTGTGTGGAGAAGCATAGAAATGCAGATGAAGGCGACGCATCAGGGAGCGAAGCCACTGATCCGTGAAGAACGGAGCTTTATTCACCCAAAAAGTGAAAACCAGAAATTCATCTTCAAGGATTTTATTCAGCATTTTTCACTTAGAAACGTACAAAACTATTATTTCTAACCAGTTTAAAACACATCAGTTTTTTTTTACAGTGTTTTCAAATTCAAATTCTTTTTAACTATGCAAAAAAAAGCAACATTCTTCATACAAGTTTTGCATTTTAAATCAAAATCAGCTCAAAATCAATTTTATCCTGGTTAAATAACTTCATATTAAATCAGAATTGCAGGTAAAAAAAGGAGAAAACATTCTGGTCCAGATCTTAAGGGTAAAATTAAGCAAAAACTTCTTAAAACAAGTTATACAGTCTAAAACTAATCAAAAACGCCTAAAATCTCATTTTATCTTGGTTAAATTGTTTCAGATTATATTTTCAGTTACATCAGAATTAAAGGCATTTTTTAAAAAAAAAAAATTAAAACAAATTTTATTAGGTTTTTTTATGTCAATAACTTAGTGTCATTTTCTAAAGTGAAACCTTTAGATTCGACTTTTCTAGATTAATTTTGTCATCGTTAAACTTCTAAAGTGAAACCTTTAGAGAATTAAGACAATTCTGGAAAGTGGGAAACATTTCCGCTGACTGCAACTGCTGCCATGTTGCTCAGCCGAAGACGAACATCTGAAAAGTCTCTTTCCAAGATGGCCGCTTCTTCCTCAGCACCGCTTCTTCTCCTGCTGCGCGTGCTTCTGCGTGGCGACGTTCGCTCCGTGGGAACCACGGGACGCAGAACTCGCCTCTTCTCCTCCCTCTCCAAACCTCATCCGCACAAAGAATGAGGGTCGACGGTGTGCCGCCCCCCGCTGCGTGCCCGGCCTCGTTCGCAGAAAGAACCAGGCTCATCTTGGCACGGACGGCTGCGGGGGGCGGCGGCGGCGGTGCCGGCGCCGTGCTAGCCCGGGCATGCTAGCTCCTCAGGAGCGCCCAGGAAAGAACCGGAAACAGAATCATCCCGGTCGGGATGAGGATTTCCAGGTGTGAACGGATCAGGTGAGCGGCAGAGAGCCGGGTCAGCGCTCCGGGAGGCTGATCTCAGGAACCCAGTCGTTCAGCCGCCGGCTCTCCTCGCAGAACAGGTGCAACTTCTCCAGAGCCGGGTCGTCCCAAGACCCATCGGCCGGGTTCTGTTGGAGCGACAGGAGGAGCGTTAGCAAGGAAACAGCTGCTGAGCAGGGCCGGAGCTACAAGGCTCACAAAGGGGCCATAACAACAAAAATATGGGGAGGTGGTTTTCTACTGTTAGCATCTATATTGAAAATCAGCTACAAGTGTTGGAATTTATTAGTTTCAGGTGGGAAACAAAATGGCCGACTCCAAATTCTGACTCATTGATTGGTATAAAAAATATACTAACTTAAAAAAAATAATGGAGAGAGTGGTGATTAATATAATTAGAATACATTAAGAACTTCAGCTTTAAGTAAAAATTTGATTTAATTCTTGGAGCAGAAATGTGTAGAAGATAAAATCAAGCAATAAATGGGCTGTAATGTTAACATTTTTTGGAAATGTAAAAAATTTGATTCTGCAAACCTATCAGTGTTCTGATAGGTTTGCAGAAATTAATTTGGCCAAAATATGTCTTAAGCTAACAATAAATTTATTCAGCCCAGTCACACCTTTTAAGTGTAAAAATTAAATATATTCTGTAAGTTTCAGCTCATTTCCTCCAGTTTAATGTGTATTTATCACAACATTGATGTATTATTGTAGGGCTGCAGCCCCCCGCAGTCCACCCCGTCGTTCCGCCCCTGGTCGTACCGTAATCAGGACGCAGTGCGCGTCTTCCTGCTTGTCTCCGACGATGTCGGCCAGACGCTGCGTGTCGCTGACTCTGACGATGCTGATGTCGTTGTCGAAGCAGAAGGACTGGATCAGGGTGAAGTGGATCTGCAGGGCCACGTCCCACTGGAACTGCTCGTCTGTGGCCAGGACGCAGAACGACACGCTGTCCGGGTCTCTGTGGAAACAAACCGGGTCAGATCGGGTCGGGAACCAAACCGACCATCAGCGGATCTCCAAACTTACAGGTTCATGACTTTGGCGCACTCGTAGACTCCCACGGTGAGAGACTGGTTGTCTTTAGCCGAGACCAGAACTTCTTCCAGGGCTGCGCCTGCGCACTGAGCGCGCTCGGCGGGCTTCTGGATCAGAACCTCTTCAAAAGTCATGATGCAGTCGGTGAGGATGAGGATATTCCAGGAGGAGGAAGAGCGTTTGGAGCGGAGCGGCTTCACGCAGCTGCTTTTATAGCCCCGCAGCTCGTGCGGCGCAGAGAAAGCGGCGCGCGCTGATTGGCTGCGGCTGATAGGCGCATTGATGTGATAATGCTTTTGTCACACTTTGGCTCGTGGCAGATTGATGGGGGTCACGCGCGCTCCCCTTCTGCACGCAAACAAAAGGAAAATATTTAGGTTTCAAGTTTTAGTTTGAGCAGAAGCTTCACTTTCCCACTTCATGCACTCAAAAAAATTAACAAAATATGAAACGAATTTATCTAATTTTTAATCCCAAACGACAAACAGATGCTTGATGTTGTCATTTTGTCTTAAAATCAACCAAATCTTTGCACTGATGGAGTCAAACAAAAGGAAACTATGAAGTTTCTGCAGAATGGAAACAGTTTCAAGTTTTAGTTTTTGCAGGAATCCACAACAGCTTCACTTTTCCACTTCATGCATTTATAAAATTTACAAAAATAAAACATTTTTTTAAAAGTTCAAATGACAACCAGAAGTGCAAAATTGTCGTTTTGCAATAAACATGCAACCAAATCGGTGCATTCATGGGGGATCAGACAAAAGATCATCAAGTTTTCTGCAGAATGGAAACAGTTTAAAGTGAAACTGTTGCGGATTTCTGCAAAGACTAAAACTTTCCTACATCATGCATTCATAAAATTCACAAAAATAAAACAGAATTCTGTCATTTTTATTCTTTAGTGACGGCCTTAAGTGTGTTTTGCTTGTCTTAAATGCTCCACATCGCCTGTTTCCAGCTCGTCTCTTCATGTTTGCAGGTTTGCTGCTCAGATGGAGCCGGAAGTGAGAAGCCCCGCCCCCACGCTGCGGCGCAGGTGGACCGGACCATCTGTGGACTAGAAGCGGACCTTAAAACCACCCGCATTGTTTTCACAGAAGCCCCACTTTTTATCACCCCTCCCCCTCCTTATCTCCTCCATACAAATGCAAATGCGCAGCGCGTGCCAGAACTGAGCAAACTCCACGTGGCTCATCAGCTGTCCGTTTATTTACATCAGAGAAACTTTGACACGCACTTTTAAACTCACCACAGAGAGTTTAAATTTGGAGAATTTGAAGAGTTTTTGAGTGTGTTTTGTTTTTCTTTACGATCTTTTTGCGGTTTTACGCATTTAGAGGTCCAAACTTTAACTCAGAATAGATTAGATTATCTCTATCGGATGGAAAACATCAGTAAAAATCTTTTTTGAAACCAAATTAAACAGGATTTTAGTTCGTTTCAGAGTAAAGATCCACTTCGTCACATTAGATCTCAATAAAATGAGTCAAAAATAAATCAAATTTCAAGGTGTACTTTATCGTGGATGCTGATTTCACTTTTACGCACGCTTATTCGGGCACCAATAGCGCAAATTCTCCCCCATATTTGCCCTTTTTTAATTTGCATACATTCAGTGAAACCCGCATCTTGCGTGCGGCTCGCCTGCTGCCGCATGAATAGCTGAGGAGGGGCGCACAGGTTGGCGCTGATTGATTCAGCGCTATTGTTCTGCGGCAGATGGAGAACTGTCGCTATGAACGGAGAGGGGGGTCGTGGTTTGACCCGCAGACCCCCTCCAGGGGTTCGGCCATCTTTTGTCTGCGATCCTCCAAATTCTGCAGCCTGTTGTCTGAGTTTTGATTAAATTTAAACTCCAAACAGGAGAAATGGGTCCGAACCGTTTTACCCTGAAGCCGGAGGTCGTTTTAGTTTGGGGTGTAAACATGTTTTATTTACCGGCAGCCTTAGTTCCACACCATGTAAAACTATGCTGGGGCGCCGGTGGAGGGGCGCCAAATATATAAAAAAATTAGTTTCCGTCCCAGTTTTTAGTGACATAAAGCTAAAAAAAAAAAGCCAACTAAAGATAATTTGTTCCACTTTTGTTTGGCGCCACCAAACTGGCAAAACTGCTTTTACTTCTCCTTAAAAGAGTTTAACGGTGATTATTGCTAATATTAAAGAATTTTTGACGTATCAACCCAAATGCTGCAAACCTTATATTCTGGAGTTAAAATGAAACTCTTCAGTTCATTTCTTCACTCTCTTGTTTTCTAGTCATTTTATTTTTTCACCACTCTGTGAAACTTGAACTCATTCTTCCACCTTTCTTTTTGCCCACTCTTTGCCCACTCCTCCAGGGATGATTCGGCTCATCCCGACTGATCCGGACACGGTTCTGCTGCAGAAAGGATCAGCTTTCATGGCAACAGGCGGGGCGCGTGCACATCGAGCCACAGCTTTTGTTGCGGCTGCACATCTGCTCCGTTTGCGCCTCTAATCTGATGGAGAAGTTGCGGCACCGCAGCGCTGCGGCTGCATGTCTGCGGGTTGTTTGACTCCCGAGGCTCAGCAGGTGCTGCCTTTGTCCGCCCCCCCCCCCCCCCACTCGGGACAGATGGTGTCCCTCCGCAGCGCTGATAAAGGAGAAGAGAGCACGTGACCCGCCGCCCCCAGATGCCACGCGCCCGGACGGAGCAGCGGCGCGTGGCACTTCCTGATCCTTAAAGGGAGAAAACACGCTGTGGAAATACCCACGGAGATGTTACCGTGGAAACTCTGTTCTCACTCTATTTGAAGCTTTAAATACCTCCACCAGTAGGGGGCGCTGATTATAGAGTTACACAACCAATCAGTTTATTTGTTTCACACATTTCAGCAACAAGACATTTCAAATATATTCACTTCATAAAAACACAAAAATCAATTGAAATATTACATTTTCTCAAGCCATTACACATCAGATTGATTGTTTCATTGATTACGTTTCAAACCAACCCCCTAACCCTAACCCTAAAGGCACTCAGTGTTTCAGCTGTTTTACAGTTTTCTGGAAGTTTGTTCCAGATTTGTGGTGCATAGAACCTGAATGCTGCTGCTCCAGGTTTGGTTCTGGTTCTTTTTAGACCAGAACCAGAACCTGAGGGGTCTAGACGGTTGGTACAGCAATAACAGATCTTTAATGTATTGTGGTGCTAAACCGTTCAGTGATTTATAAACTAACAACAGTATTTTAAAGTCTATTCTTTGAGCTACAGGGAGCCAGTGTAGGGACTTTAAAACTGGTGTTATGTCTCTATCTTCCTGGTTTTAGTGAGAACAGCAGCAGCAGCTTCTGGATCAGCTGCAGCTGTTTGATTGATTTATTAGTCAGACCTGTGAAGACGCTGTTGCAGGAATCAATGCGGCTAAAGATAAACGCATGGATGAGTTTCTCTAGATCGCGCTGAGACATCAGTCCTCTAATCCTGGAGATGTTCTTCAGGTGATAGAAGGCTGACTTTGTGACTGTCTTTATGTGGCTCTGAAGGTTCAGGCTAGTTTCTAGTTGTAATAACTGACTAGATTGTTATTTAGATCCAAAGATATTGACTTCAGTTTTGTTTCCATAAAAGCTGCAGAAAGTTTTGGCACCCCATAGTGATTCTTGCTTTTTAAATTGATCATTTCAAAGCTTTAGCTGCAGTGACTCCTGTGGTTTTTTACATGAATAACTTAGAAGTGACAGTTTCTATGTCTAAACCCTTTTGGACAGGAGCCGACTGACTTTCTGAGTTTTCTAAAGGCACGCGTCCCTCAGGGTGGGGAGGGGAACGCAGTCGGTTGTTGCTTTTGTCCTGAAGGGAACCAATCAGGCAGTGAACGCGTGCCGGCTCCGCCGTATAAAAGCCCACTGACTCTTTTAGGAAGTTCAAATTATTTCCTCTTCACGTTCTGAGCCTAACAAACCATGAAGTCTCCTGGAAAGTCCTTGAAGGAAGCATTGGTCTGCGCTCAGAGCGAACACCGACTGACTGTTGGCGTCTACGAAAGCGCTAAGATAATGACAGAGTGAGAAAACTTTCATTTTTCTTGCTTTTTCATGCATCCTGTGTGAGTTTTTCCCAGCAGCTGCTAACAGGAAGAGCGTTTTCTGTCCACAGAGACCCAGACAGCGTGTCGTTCTGCGTCCTGGCCACAGACGAGCAGTTCCAGTGGGACGTGGCCCTGCAGATCCACTTCACCCTGATCCAGTCCTTCTGCTTCGACAACGACATCAGCATCGTCAGAGTCAGCGACACGCAGCGTCTGGCCGACATCATCGGAGACAAGCAGGAAGACGCGCACTGCGTCCTGATTACGGTACGACCAGGGGCGGAACGACGGGGTGGACTCCGGGGGCTGGCGGCCCAACAATATTACATTAAATTTCTGATAAATACAAATTAAATAGGAGGAAATGAGGTGAAACTTACAGAATGTTTCATATTTACACTCAAAAATGTGACTGGGCTGAATTAATTTAGTTTGGACAAATACATTTCTGCAAACTTACCTTTGTCGTCGACCTATCAGAACACTTATCACAGTCCAAAATCAATTTTTTAAATTTTTTTTTTTAAATTGTTAGCCTCATTGCATTATAGTCCATTCAATGCTTGATTTGATCTTGTACACATTTCTGCCCTGAGAATTAAATCAAATTTTTACTTAAAGCTGAAGTTCTGTATCATTAATCATCAATTTGTTTCATGACTTTTCTTTAAATTTAGTATATTTTTTTTACACCAATCAATGAGTCAGAATTTGGAGTCGGCCATTTTGTTTCCCACCTGAAACTAATAAATTCCAACACTTGTAGCTGATTTTCAATATAGATGCTAACAGTAGGATACCCCCTCACCCCCCATATTTTTGTTGTTATGGCCCCTTTGTGAGCCTTGTAGCTCCGGCCCTGCTCAGCAGCTGTTTCCTTGCTAACGCTCCTCCTGTCGCTCCAACAGAACCCGGCCGATGGGTCTTGGGACGACCCGGCTCTGGAGAAGCTGCACCTGTTCTGCGAGGAGAGCCGGCGGCTGAACGACTGGGTTCCTGAGATCAGCCTCCCGGAGCGCTGACCCGGCTCTCTGCCGCTCACCTGATCCGTTCACACCTGGAAATCCTCATCCCGACCGGGATGATTCTGTTTCCGGTTCTTTCCTGGGCGCTCCTGAGGAGCTAGCATGCCCGGGCTAGCACGGCGCCGGCACCGCCGCCGCCGCCCCCCGCAGCCGTCCGTGCCAAGATGAGCCTGGTTCTTTCTGCGAACAAGGCCGGGCACGCAGCGGGGGGCGGCACACCGTCGACCCTCATTCTTTGTGCGGATGAGGTTTGGAGAGGGAGGAGAAGAGGCGAGTTCTGCGTCCCGTGGTTCCCACGGAGCGAACGTCGCCACGCAGAAGCACGCGCAGCAGGAGAAGAAGCGGTGCTGAGGAAGAAGCGGCCATCTTGGAAAGAGACTTTTCAGATGTTCGTCTTCGGCTGAGCAACATGGCAGCAGTTGCAGTCAGCGGAAATGTTTCCCACTTTCCAGAATTGTCTTAATTCTCTAAAGGTTTCACTTTAGAAGTTTAACGATGACAAAATTAATCTAGAAAAGTCGAATCTAAAGGTTTCACTTTAGAAAATGACATTAAGTTAAGCCAATAAAAAAATTAATAAAATTTGTACGAAAAATTCCTGCAATTCTAAAATATAAATTTGAAACAATTCAACTGAGATAAAATTACATTTTAGGTGATTTTTGGTTAGTTTTAAAAAGGAAAAACTTAGTTCTTTGTAGCAAATTGACTGAATAAAAATGTTTCTTAAATGTTTTTCTCAATTTTTGTGTAGATTTTTGCTTAGTTTTACTTTTGAATAACTCTTAGAGAAATGACTCAGTTAAACTATTTATAAATGCATTAAAATACTTTGAATAATATATGGACCCAAAAAACATTGGCTTTTTTTTTTTACCTGAAATTCTGATTAACATTTTTTTAATTAATTTGAAATAATCTAAAATATCTGTTAGTCTTATCTAAATATTTTACTTTAGAATATGACCCAATAAAATGTTAGAAGCATAAAAATAAAATTTTGATGTTAAAGTTTAAAATTGAATAAGCAGTAATTTTGATTTAAACTGTATAAATAAACACATTATTCTCTTAAATAACTGCAATTAAGACATAATTACTTTATATTCTGCCATATTTTGATCCAGATGAGAATATTTTTAATTCTCCAAAGGTTTCTCTGTTAGACAGTGACAGAAACTATGGTCTAAAATGTAGTCTTAAAAAAAATTCACATTTTAAAGGAAAATTATTTTTTGAAAATCCTTTACTACAAAGAAATTTGGTGTATAAAATTCTGAAGAAATAAGAAAATTGTTTTACTTTTTAATGAATATGAAAAGACAACATGAAAAATGAAGTATGCAACTTATTTTTACTTAACTTCAAATGGCATAAAAATATGTTAAAAGTTGTCAATTTGTTTCTGTCAATTGTTTTTTTTGTGTGAATAAATACAATTTTGATTCAAATTTTGCTCATTGACTTTTCTTTTTTACAATTACATACAATTTACTTATTTTACTCCATTTTCATTGTTTTAAGTTCTTAATTTTTTAAATCTTTGAGGACCATATGTGGAAATGACCAAACATTTTCCTGCAGCATTAGATTCAGGCCCACATTTGTTATTTATTTATTTTTTAAAACATTTTTTCCATCCACGTTTCTTGTAAAACTTGACTTTCAGTTTTCTTGCTAACTTCTGTTCTATATCTAATAGAGTTTATCTAAGTGTTATTTGGGGCCTGCCCATGGTCTTTATTTATCATTTTATTTTCTTTGGTTTATTGGTTGTTTTTTTACCCATCATGCTTCAGATGAACAACAGCTTAAACAGTTTTATCTACTTTTAATTTTTTTTTTTTTCTGGGGTCACAATCACAAATATTTCATTAAATTCAACTGACCTAAAGTGTATCAGAAATGACAATATAGTTTAATTAAATAAGAAGTGATATTAAGTTTTTTTAATACATTTTAACTACATTTTATCAAGATGCTGACCTGGTTTAACTAAGTTATCACGTTATTTGCTCTGCCTTCACCAGCAGCATTTAGTTGCACTTAGTTGCCTGTTTGTTGATTCTATTGAGGCAGCGACTTAATGAATGTGATCTTTGGTTCCTGACGCGCGCTGCCTTTTCTTTTCTCTCCAGTTTGGCGTTCAGATCTTTGAGGCCTTTGATTGAACAGGAATCTCTCTGCCCTGCATGCTGCTGCCACTACTGAGGCTCTAACAGCTGCTGCAGCGTCAACGCCCCGCTGGGTCACCCACACATTCAGCTTCAGACACTTGACACATATCCATCTTTATGTAGGTTCAAAGAAATGGAGAAACCAAATCTACAGAGGCATATTAGAGCCATTGTAGGTTTATGTTAAAAAAAAAAGTTTCTGTGAAAACACTCATTTTTCAAAAAAGTCAAATTCTTTTTCCTCTGTCTGCTGTTGTACAACAGTGTTAGAGATCAATCAGACAAAAAAGTTGCAAAAAAAATTAGAGAATCTGTTTGTTTTAGAAGAGAAAACAGTCCTTTCAATGAGTCCTTTAAATCTCCATAGCAACCAATTGCCCTCCAGTTTAATGAGGCGGTGAAAAGCGTTTAGAGGCGGCTGTGTGCCGGGCGCAAGCCGGCGGCCATTCATGCATTCAGAGCCTAATCCTGGCCAACAGCAAGAGTCAGCAGAAACACCAAGTCAGGGTTACATCACCTCACTAAGCTGCAAACTCTGCCTTAAAGGAGCAGTTCCTCTTTTCTAATCTGATTGTATAACAGGAGCTGTACATCTGGGGATGGAGCGCTGACAGCTACAGACTTCTGTGTTGAGTCAGAGCTGCTCTTCCTGATCAACCTCTAATGCCCTTCATTTCACCTTTAGCTTTAAGAGCTCTGCTGCTGCTGAGCAACACAAAGGCAGAAACAGCAGCAGATGGAAACGACGGGCTACCAGAGTCTCTACTGGGCTCAAACATCTAAAAAACACAAAACATCAACTCAAACTGGACAGAATTTCAAATTTTTACTCTCCTTTGCATTAATATACACCGTCCAAAACTTTATTTATTGTGCTACATCCTCAAACTGTATTTATTTTGTCTTTCATATAATAAAATAATAGAAATTTTTGCAAAAATCCCAAAAATATGTATCTGTTGGAGCCCAAACAAGTTTTCTATTGCTTGTTTCTGAAGTGCTACGCAACAGCAAACGGCTAACAAGTTTATCATAAACTTCATCTTAGCATAAAGCAGAATTTATTTTTCAAAAATGATTTTATGCTAAATCTAAAGCTATACTAGCATGTATTGAAACTCTTGATTTAGCATAGCTTCCATTAGCATCAGATCAATTTTAGCATAAATTAAGTCGTGGCCTTGGCTTTTTCTTGATCCTTCTGGGCTACCGTAGGATGGATAAATGGATGAAAAAAGTGATTCAGGAAATCTCTATGCAGAAATAGGTCCAAGTTATTAGTGAAAGGTAAGATTAGTGAGAATAAAAACTATTATAGAGAACTTCAAACTTTACTCAATAAAAACAAGTTAAAGATATGAATTTCAAAAGATTTTTAGATGCTATTTTAGCTACATAAGAACATTTATGCATCATCTGTAGAAGTTTGAGTGTAAATCCTTTTGCACGTCTCTGTTTCAGATGAATAAAAGTGCCGAAAACAGCCGTTTCAGATACTTCCTGTCTGCTAGCAATGCTAATCTGCCTTATAAACATGTTAATATCTCCTGCTGTCATTTCCAGACGTGTGTTGAACCAGCCGGCTCCTCCGCCAGCAGCTGCTGATGCTAATTCCTGGCTCTGATGTGGCTCATAATGAACCTGATCACTAATTACATTAACAAACCCGACTGGCTCTCAGCAGGGAGGGTCAGTTTGGAACAACTGGCACTTTCACCGCTCCAGGAATTCATGCAAAAATGACATTTTTTAACCAGAAGTGAAAGATTTGGGGGCTTTCTTTTGTATCTTTGAAGTTTCTTGTACCCTGCAAAAACAGAATTTTTAGCCAAGTTTCTGGTGCAAATATCTTGAATTAACTTGAAATAAGAAAACTGATCACTTTTTTTAGCAAAACATAGGAGCTTGTTTAAATTAAATAATATTGATGGAAAACTCCAAGTTCCACTGGCAGATTATTTCACTTGTAACAATCTATTTTTGCCACTTTATAAGTTAAATAACTAGAATAAAATCTCTATAATTTTGTGCAAAACAAATTGTAATGAACATATTTTGTGTGGCTTAGGCTTTGGTTGCTAGGTGATGGGCGGAACTTCGCTGAGGTTGCTAGGTAACGGGCAGATTATTTCATTTGTTACAAATCACTTTCCTCATGTTATAAGCAAAATTAAATGCCAATGGAAGTAGTACTTCTTTTTAAATCAATATTTATGGATTATTGATTTATCGTACTTAAAAGTTAATTACAACAAAAGCCACAGAGGAAGTTATGCTAAAACAGAAGTTATGTTACTTTATACTACGACTCTATTTTAATAGTTTATTCTCCTAATACTATGATTTCATTCTCGTAATTTTATGTTTAGTTTCTTAGAGCGGCCATAAGACTCCAGTCATAAATGTTCTCTGATTCTTTAGACAATAAATTGGGGCATGACTCTAAACTGAAGAGCAGTTTTGAGGCAGTTTTATGATATTCATTGTTTGTGCAACTCGCCAAAAATAAAACTGACCGAAAAGCTGCAGGCAGCACTTGTGCTGCTTCATGAATGGACACAAAGAGCAGAAAGCGGGGTGGGAGGGGCCGCCTCGCCTCTCCTTTGTGGGGAATAAAGGCGCAGTCCGGAGCAGCTGCTGCTGGCTGACCGGGACTTTTGAGACGAATCCTTTCACCCAAAACAAAGTCTGGAGCCGAGAGTGAGCGGAGGAGGCGGAACAAAAGGCACGCTTAGGCAGGACAGCATGGCGTTGACTCCCCATTCAGCAGCAGGAGGGGGAGGGGGGACGGGCTGCAGCTTTTAAAGTTGACAAGAGTCACAAAGGTCCGCCATATGGACGCAGGGACATCATCTGCTCAGGAGTCACTGAAAGGAAGACAGGACAGCCAATCAGAGTTCAGTTCTTAACAGCTGCTCTGCCCAGCAACGAGAACTGGATTCTGATTGGCTGCTGCGGTGGGACACTACCTGATTAGCCTGATCGATGCTGAAGATGTAACTGACTTTTTAAACCATTCCTAATTTATACAGTGAAAGTTACATTTGTTTTATCTTTGTTTTGTGAAGTTAAAAATGGGTTTAAGCTGACAAAACACATTTTCACTTAATGTGTTGCCTGAATTTTTTATTTTAAAAAGTAATGCATATTAATAGTTAAATACAACGGTGTGTATTGTATACAGAAAAACCGCTATTTTTTATTTTATTTTACCAAAAATCAAATTTTCTAGAAAACAAAAAGGAAATTTTTTAGTTTGCAATTTGCAAATTTTAGACTTTTGAATTTCAAAATTTTCAAAAGTGAAACATTTTTGACTCTCTCTCTATATAAAAACATGTCAAAATTATGTATGAAGTTTAATCTTTTAATGATTTTTGGAAAGGAAACTTAATATAAATACAAACCCTTGTGCATTTTGTGAGTCAAATATTAAGACAACAGAACTTTAGTTCCAGTTTAATAAATGTTTTTTGAAAATATTTTCAAAACTGGATCTTGTGTAACAAATTTAATTACACTTAAGTTTTTTCTATAATAAATTTAGTCTTCTAAAAGAGGATGAAGAGTCAAATTATGGTAATTTAATCCTGGCTACAGTTTTTTAATCCACAAATGCCGCTTCTTAGAAATCACCCCCATTTTTATCATTTTTTTTTAACTCTACTGCTTAAACATGTTTTATACATTTTAGCAAAGATAAACCGCTGTTACTGTTTAAAAATCAAAAACTACATTTAAGCAGAAAATATTTATACAATTAAACAAAAACGGAAATCACAGTAAATATAAACCTTTTAAATCTTGTGAACAAAGTTTTATCAAACAAAAACATCAGACCTGATAAGGTGTGAATCTGCTCCACCTAGTGGAGATGTGTGGTAATGACAATCAGATTTGTGGAGGAATTTTGAATCTGAAACAGAAGACAAAAAAAGGTAGTCATGTTGTCTTCTGACTAATATTTATATCAGTTTGATGCTGAAACACTTAAGTGCAACAAAATTGCTAATAATAAATCAGGAATAAACCCCCCCATCAAGGTGTGCCATCTATTTTCCTTGTCTAATACCAGAGAAGTAAATCTGTCTGGAACTGCATCAAAACCCACCAGTTTGCTTAATTAGTAAACATATTCACAGTAATGCCATTAGTTCTTTATCAACAATAAAAACCTCAATGTACTTCCGGGTTATCCCAGTAAGTGTCAACAACTGTCATCTCGATACACTTTGGAATAATTTTAGTTCAGTCACCTATATTCCAATTGCTATTAAATTTAGAACAAGGTCAGTTAATTATTAAAATAGTTTACATAGTTTGTAGAAACGGCGCCTGCAGGAGAGTCGTCAGGGTTAGGAACTAACAGGCGATGAACAAACGGAGAAATCCTACAATCCTGTGACACGGCTCCGCTTTTGTTTACTTTTTGTGAAGGAAATTGCGCTGGTCTTCTTCAGAGGTTTTGTGTCGATTCCTTCAGTAGTTCTTGGTGCAGCGCCCCCACGGGCGATGGGGGGAACAGGTTTGGCTCTTTTGACTCAGTGCAGTGTGACAGTTAAGAGTGCT